AAAATGGTAGATTGAGATGAAACATGACCCAACTCGACGGGTAATTCATATTGAAATGCGCATTTTGATCTTATATAAATGAAGATATTCATGACTCCGTAATTCACTATGGTATGTCTTCTTTTTTAATTTTTAATTTAATATTGTCGAAAACACCTCTCTCCAAAGCCCTAAAATCAACTTCGCTCTTGTATCTCCGACTTGTCTCCCACTCCCTCTCCCTCTCCTTCCCTGACTCTCCTGACCTCTCCCTCCATGGACGAAGCCCTCGCTGGCGACTGCAACCTTAAGAAGGTGTTCCGTACAGAAGTGCACAACTCGATCAAGGGCCACGAGTTCTACATTGCCTCGCCTAAGAGTTACCGGGGTGTCGACGGGATCTACAAATACAGCCCGCCTAGCAGAGCCATTGAGTCGAATGTCTTGGGGTTCTGAAATGAGGTTAGTCATGGAATTGAGTCGAATTGGCGTGGATAGTATCGGATGCTTTATAGCCAGTAACATTTAATATGTTTTTCCTTTTTGTCTTTGCTGAACAAGGGCCATGGATAGATAGGGTTTGTTTGCTGTGTGTTAATTTTTTTTTATCTTTCTATTGTTAGCATTTTGTTATAGAGGAGGGCATGTCGGTGGTTTCCCGCCCTTATAGACCTCCGAAGATTCTCCTTAAAGGGCATTTGGACAAATGTACTGTTCCTGTGATGATGGATGAGGAAACTAGGAATTGCTATCGAGTTGAGCATGTGCTCAATGGTTTTTTAAATGAGATGATCCACCAAAAGGATTCGATCATTAGTCCAAAGAAGGCTAAGGAAGTCGGGCGAGTACTCGCGATTTAGCCTTCTCTCTCTGATGAGGAATTGGGTGCCAAGATAAAAGAATATCATATCACAAGAGCTCCAGACACCGAAAATCAGCTCTCTGGTCCCTATCCGTTCAAGGTAGGGTTGTCAAAAAAGCCCAGCCCGACCCATACCGGATAGGCCCGACCTGACCTGGCCCGGAAATATAGGGCTTCTTCGGGGCGGTCCTCCTTTGGGTCGGGTAAGAGCTTTAAATCTCATATATATTATCCTTATTTCGGGCTGGGCCGGTTCGGATCAGACTTTTTTGACAGCCGGCACGTGACTTAAAAAACCCTAGAATGTATCGTTTCTTCCGTCTGATTCGTCTTCAAGCTCGCGCTCACCCCTTCCGTCCATTGCTCTTCGCCAATCCCTCCGCCTCCGCTGCTGCTGCGAGGCTCAACTCCGACAACGAGCCCGTCCCCGACGACCCTGTTCGTCGGCTCGTCAGCGGGCTGAGGGGCTCAGAAGCAGAGGGATTCGTCACTTCTCCCCACTTTGGGGCCGTCGTTTCCAAGTTGAGCCGGTTTCATGTCGACCAAGTGGTGGGTGCTTTGAACGTCGAGAGCCCCGCTTTGGCAGTTGCTTTTCTTCGATGTCTTGAGGAATGAGTATGGGTTTCGGCATTCGAGGTTCTCTTGGTTGCTGGTCTTGCATGGGAGCTGGGGCGATTGCGTTGGGTTCTCCAGCAAATGCTGGAGGAGGAAGGTAAATTTTGAGTAACCAGGACTTTCTCATGTTATAATAATCTCTGTTTGGGTTCTGCTGAGGCGGGGAGTGGGGCTGGTTTGCCTTAAACTAGGGTGTCAAAAGAATCCGCTCAAACACAACCCGATCCGATTTGACTTGAACAAGAATTTTTTGTATTGGATCGGATTGGGCCTTAATTTATTTGGATAACAGTAAAAATAAGGCCTCAACTAGTTTTGCACCTACCCGAGCCCGCCTGAAACAAGTCCATCCGAAACAAACAAGAACCATTTGTTCTTCTTGCGCCAAGCCCACCCGAAACCCTATCTTCTTATAGAAACTCAAACCAAGACTCCATTTTCAGACGCGAACGAGCAGCAACGTCTTCTCATTCTTCTTCTTCAGCGTGCTTGTATCGACGGCGATCGTCGGCGCTCACCCGTGACTCGAGCTTCGTCCTCTCCCTAAGGTTGCGCTATCCAGACTACCCGCGGAATCGCGGGGCCTTTGAGAGTATTTTTACCGGAATCACCGTCGGCTCCAACTAAAATCGAGTTCACCGGTTGCCTTTCATCATGGATGATTCTAGTTATTGAGGAGCACCGAACTTGCGGAGAGCCCTAATCCGCATACCCGCAACGACCCTTTAACTATAGAGCTACGAAATGGGCGAGGCGAGGCGACCCAGTACCGCAAAAGCGCCCAGGTAGCGCAGACCTGGGCTTGGGAGGTCCTCTTCGAAGCTTTGCTCGTTTCGAGGTATCCGGGAAGCTGAAAGCTCGGTGCCGAACCGTAAGCGAGGGGAACGCAGGCGATCGAGAAGGAAAACGTAGGAGGAGCGATGCGGTTCAGATCTGAAGAGATCTGAGGAAAATCACCGTCGGCTCCGAAGCTGATTCGCGGGCGTGACCAACCCAGAGAGGCCCAGGACCGGCTTTTCTTCAATCGGTGAGTGCTTAGTTGTTTTCCCTCGGTCAAGTTTTTGACCAGTTTCGCTTAAGCAGTTGTCTTCGTGTTCATCTCGGCTTTGTATACTCTTCAACGGTACCGTTTCGTGTGTGAGGGCTTTTGTTGTTCTGCCCTGTTTTCTTGATCTTCGGTGATGGTTCTTGTGTCCGCTTGGTGGGGTTTTTGTGGTTGAGTGATTGCGAGTTGGATTGTGAATTTTTTTGTTTCGAGGACAATGGTTCGTCTGTGTCTTGCTTGTTATATGGGTGGCCAATGGTTTTCATTTATTTTAATTGTTCTTCTGTTTTGGAGCTGGATTTTATGTTAACTTGCTCTGATTTAGGCGAAGTGAGGTATATGGAATCTGTATTACCTTGTGTTTCAAAGGTTGGTAACAGGGATGAATTCAAATATTTTTTTGGGGAAAGAATTACCTTCAGAATTTGCATTGCAGCTTGAATTTCGGATTCTACATCATGTATCTTCCCACTTCTTTGAATCGGCTAAGCAGGAACATATGGCTTATGTCGTCTGTTCTTCTATTAAGAATCGGAGGAAAAGTTTAATTTCTGATGCAAAAGTACCACATTTTGGAACAAATTTAGCAGTACGGTTGTGCATGAAATGTTAGGCGCAATTCTTTCAAGAAGATAGCAAACCTCTAAACATGAACCCGACCCAAATCTGACCCGACCCAACCCGATTGTACGACTATGTCATGTTCGGGTCTTGTTTCGGGTCGGGCCAAGCACACATATTCATTGTTTTCGGGTCGGGTCGGGTATCATGAAAACCCGACCCGACCCAACCCATTGACACCCCTACAAACCTCGAAACTTTGATCCGTCTTGGCCCTTCCTGCCTCGCATAAGAGTTACTGGGCGCGGCATCACCATCGAGTCGAAAGTCTTGGGCGTTCTGGCGTGAGGTTAGTCATGGAATTGAGTCAAGTTGGCGTGGATGGTATCAGATGCTTTATAGCCAGTAATATTTAACATGTTTTTCCTTTTTGTCTTTATTAACCTTGCTGAACAAGGGCCATGGATAGATAGGGTTTGTTTGCTGTGTGTTAATTTTTTTCTTTCTATTGATAGCATTTTGTTCTAGAGGAGGGCATGTCGGTGTCTGTCTTGCCTTATCCCCCTCCGAAGATTCTCTTTAAAGGGGCGGGGCATCTAGACGAATGGATTGTAGTTATGATGATGGATGAGGAAACTGGGACATGCTATCGAGCTGACCATCTGCGCAATGGTTTTTTAAATGAGATGATCCACCAAAAGGACGATCATTAGTCCAGAGAAGGCTAAGGAAGTGGAGCGAGTACTCGTGACGTTGTCTTCTCTCTATGATGAGGAATGGTTGCCATGATAAAAGAAAATGGTATCACAAGAGCTCCAGATATCGGAAATCAGCTCTCTCGGAACGTAATCATTTTAATATCTGCAATGGTCGGAAGATTATTTTGAGGATAAATCTACACTTGTGAAAAGCATCAGAATCCATCGTAGATTAAAATATGAGGGCCCGATGAAAATAATGACAATATCTCTAATGCAGCATTGGAGAGCACGTATCCCTTAAGGTGATCCGACAAATAGATGTATTCCCATCTAAAAACCTCCTTGAGTACGTACCAGTACCACCAATAGATGTCACTATCATGCCAATGGTGTTGACTTTGGGCTAATTAACTTGCTTTCTCAAAAATGTTATTTTAGCTTTTGGATTTACGTCTTTGAGATTTAGTTTTGTTTCCTCAATCTACTGTAGGTGGTACATACAACCTGAAACTGCACCAGGTAATTTTCTACATTTAATAGACTGTATGAGATTAACGGCAATAGCAAAGGATTGTTTATTGCCGTTAGTCTCATGCAGTCTATTGAAATGTAAAAATTGCATGGTGCAGTTTCTGGTCGTATGAACCACCTACAGCATATTGATGGAAAAAAACTACAGATAAATCTCAAAGATGTAAAACCAAAAGCTAAAATAACATTTCTGAGAAAGGAAGTTAATTAGTTCAAAGTCAACACCATTGGCATGACAATGGGACATCTATTGGTGGTACTGGTACTTACTCAGGGAGGTTTTTGGATGGGAATATATCTGTTTGTCGGATCACCTTAAAGGGATACATGCTCTCCAATGCTGCATTATAGATATTGTCATTATTTTTATCAAGCCCTTATATTTTAATCTGCGGTTGAATCTGATGCTTTTCACACGTGTAGATTTCTTCTTAAAATAATCTTCTGACCATCCATGAGTTCACTGTTGCTGAGATCGAGCATTTTGTCGATCCGGAAGATAAGTCCCATCCAAAGTTTTTTGAAGTTGCAGATATAAAAATTATTATGTTCCCAGGGGAACATCAAACTAGACAATCTGCTATAGAAACTCTGCTTGGTGAAGCAGTATCAAAGGTTAGCTTAAATCATCTTTTGGACTTGATTTTTCTTGCCCTAACTTTTTCACTTTGAGTCTCGCAAATTCCGATGTTTATTTGTAGGGAACTGCTAACAATGAGACCCTTGGGTACTTCATTGGGAGAATGTTTTTGTTTTTAACTTGCCTTGGCATAGACAAGCATCACTTGCAATTTAGGTAGCGTCTTGGCAATGAAATGACACACTATGCAGCAGATTGTTGGGTTGCTGAAATTGATTGTTCCTATGGTTGGATGGAGTGTGTTGATATTTCAGAGAGGTCGGGATATGATTTACGAGCACTTATGGTAAGAGTCATGTTGCCTTCTTCCAAGAACTTTTCTTCTTTCTTTTTTTTTTTTTTCTGGAGCAGGCGCACGATCAGGAATACTGAAAGAAACAGCAGCATCATTTTGTTATCTCAATAAGTGAAATGATTTTATCATAAGGTCCTCTTGAGTCTTTTTGAAATCCTTCCAAAACTATTCTTCATGTTTCTAACTTTAGGATAAACTGCCAACATGCGTAAGAAATTAATAATATACATTTTTCATTTTATCCATGTTACTTCTTTCTTCAGTGATCTTTGTAAAGCAAGATGCGGTTTTGCTGCATTATATAGGTTCTCTTTTTAGCTGTCTTGTGTGGCAACCATTTGATGGATGACATATGTTATCCGTTGTTGCACACTTAGTCTTTTGTCTAATATACTATTTGAAGCAAAACATTTTCCGGCATATTTTGAGTGGGTTGAGAGCTGGATAAGAGAAAGTTTAGAGATGTATATGTTCCGCTAATCATAGAGGCATCTAGTTGGAGTGATGATTGTTATCATTTGAACAGGAGAAAAGTGGAGTTGCTTTTGTTGCCTGTGAACAATCTGCTGAACCAGAGAAGTGGTGGTAATTCTTCAGACTAGTTAATTTTGCTAGCTATTCTTAGAGTACATTGAGCAGGTTTCTGCCCTTTATTTGTGAATACTTGAGTTGGTTATCATGATTAACTAATTGAAGTATGAATGCAGAAACTGGTAATTGATCCAGACGAGGAGCAACTAGGTCTCGCCTTTAAGGAAAATGAGAAGAAGATGGTGGTTGAGTCTCTTTTGGTATATGCTGGAGGTTCCTTGGTTTTTGCTCTTTTGCTTAGTATGCTCGGAATTTGTTCCTTTACTTGATGCTTGCATTTGTCTTGTTAATACCAGGCAATGGGTGAAGAGGAAGCTTTGGGGTTGAAGGGTGCTTTAGAATCCAAAGGAGAGGCTGGATTTCTTGTATAGCCAGTGCGGAGGAAAGTAAAAATCAAGGATAACATAGTCAAAATTTCTAAGCAGGAGATAAGGGAGTAGGAGAGGGTTTTTACACCATCTGTTATTGAATTGTCTTTTAGCTTTGGACACATAATATTCTGCCTTTTTTAGCATTCTTTCTATACAAGATCCATCGAAGCATCCGCTTCCCTCCATATGTAGCACTTTTTAATTGTGCAGTCCTCCCATTGAAAATTGTCAAAGAGCTTGTGTCGGTTGCTAATTTGATTTGCAAATCATTGAGTACTTTTGATGTCAAGCTGAGTGAAAATATTACTGGTACTTATCCAATATAGAATTTTGGTTCTTAATATTTTGCATAAATTTTTTTTTATATATATTTTACATGAAACTTACATCTTTATCACTATCTTTTCTTTACTCACCATAGAAGCAGATATTATCGAGGGGTGTGAATGCTTATTTTCGTGAAATTGTTTTCATTTATCACGTCAGGATCAGCTCCAAAGGTTGACGTTCTATCCTCCTAAAGGAAAGTTGAAATTGCTATGTATAGTTTTGATGTATCGAGTTCATGTTCCAATCTAATGCGACTCCATGGTTGATGAATGGTACTGGAGGCTTCTTTTTATGTGTCATTCTCTTCATTTCATTTTCGGGCATGACTCAGAGTTTAAGGTTAATTATGACACTGCCTTGTTGAGATGACTAAACTACATCCTCCTTAAATCTAGTTAGGGGTGTCAATTTTCGACACGACATGGTTCTATTCAATTTGATCTTAGACGATTAGGTAAAAAAATTCTACTTTTGACTCTAATCTCTTCTTTTCAATCAGAAAGTTGGCTAGAATCATTAATAACCAATTATCAGTAGTAAAGAATGATAATTTCTTAATACGACGTTTTGTTTTTTTTTTTTTCATGATTTGGTCAAGCAAATTCCAAAATCAATTTTAGGCAAACTTCAATTTCATTCAACTTTAGAGAAAATCATAATTTCAGTGGTTTGATTTGGGTTTCAAGTATAAAATGGAACCGGCCCAAAATTTTTAATATGGTCTCTAAATTATCAATAAATGTTCAATATAGTTTTTAGATTATATGAAAATATATAATATTGTCCTTTTGTTAATTCAAGTTAACGAAATCTGTTTGGACAGTGGACAAAAAAAAGTTACATGTGAATTATCTTTGTAAGATATTCATTTCAAATCTGAATATAATAATCTATAACATCAAATAACGGTAATTATTCATTATAATTTTTATCTAAAAGAGGGATAAAATGATAAATATATTAATTCATTATTTTTAATAATTGAACTCGGTAAATAATAATATGCATCATCAAAATAACGTCCGATTTATAATTTGAAAAAATAAAAAGATTATATATAATTTAGTGATGATATTTAATAAATTAAAAGTTATGATCTTATTTGTGTTATTTTCCCCTTATAAAAAAACCAGTAAGCCATATGCATTTTCATTGATCCCGAAAACGAACAGCTCCTGTAGCGCAAACAAAACAGAAGTCAGTGGCGCCCCGCCTCCGACGAGCGACGACGCCGACTCCGCCGCGAACGCCGACGAGCTCCTCCCGGCCTCCGCGAGGCCGCGGTTCTCCACCGCTATTCGAAGCGCCTCTAATCGACTGCGAAGCTCCGGAGGGGGGAAGATTAAGCGAGTCTTGTTGCCGGTCGACGTGCTTGGCAGTGGACGGCGACGTGCCGAGGCTGTTGCTCCGATCGCGAAGGGCGTAGATCCGCGGCGAAAAGATCCGCTCGTCCTGTCCGATCCTTCAGGAGGTTGCTACTCGACTCGTGACGCCGTCAGTCTGCTTGGAAGTTCTGTTCGATGACAATTATGGAAGTGAAAATAGAAATTTGAAGATTACAAACAAACAATGATGCGACTGATGCGACGCTAATCCTCCTGAGTTCGCTTCAATTCAGGTTTTTGAGATGGCTGATGATCGGAGTAGTCTCTCTCATACTTTCAAGTACTTACTGGGTCAGTGCCACATCCGTTGATCTTTTTTCTCTTCGAATCTCTTCTCAATTCGATAGCTTTTAATGTGTTGTTTGATCGGATTTGGGTAGTTTTGTGCGTTTTTCTTTTGCTGAGCTAGTTGGTTTCTTTCTCTTGGTTTTCCCAATGGTGGAAATCAGCTACGCAGTTTTTGGCCAGGGGAATCCCTTTTCTGTTCAATACGTGGATAGTGCGGCATCTCACTGCAGACGATTACGCGGTACTCGATTGGCCCTGGCCTTCTTTTTTTTTTTTTTCCTTTCTTAATTGTTGAAATGTTCACTGTTGCTGCATTATCAGGTGTTGTTTATTAGCTGGTAAAAATTTGGACTTGCAGTCGTTTAGTATATGCACACTTTTAGTTTGCCTTCCGGCATCATGGAATGGGAAATTAGTGTTTGCGGGAGTTTCTTGCAGGCTAACTATTCTTCATTCTTCTAGAATGTCTGAGTTTGCATATAAGCGAGAGACCCTGTTATGATGTATGAAGGTGGAATTTTAGCAGTTAATCCTTATCCCCTGATGTTGGGTCTCTCTAATCTCGCATCCTGTACTATCTGTGATGTATTCCGATATTACATAGATGAGATCTTTCAATATGTTATGTTATGTCATGTTATGATCTTCTGCCTGTGTCTCTGTAGATTAGACTGAAATTTCTGTGTCGTTATTAATGCAGCTCTACGCGGTAAAATTTCATCTGTTCGTCACCTGTGTGTTGTTCCTCAGTCGGGAAGGATTTCGTCGAGCATGCATGCGAGCTGACATTCAATGGTGCTTCTCCTTGCTCTTTCATGTATGCATATTGGTGACAGTTGTGCTGTTAGACTTTCTATCATTCTGACGTTGTGTATATACTAATTTTTTTTTGGTAAAAGCATATATACTAACTGGCGCTTGAAGGAGTTGGCACTATTGGATCTGTGTTCAAGTTTAGTGATTACTTGCTAAGTTATGTCTATGTTTGTATATTGTAGGGGAGACAGCATCAATAAATAAGCAAAATTCTTCTGGTTAGGTGTTTTGGATCTATTGAAAAATAACGAATGCCACCTAGCGCTATCTACTGTTATATCCTTCGAAAAATTCCCATGTCAGATTCACATATTTAATGTCCATTCACAATTGTCAATCAAGTTTTCTCTGGTTCGCTGGCCTAGTGACTGGAGCTAGTTTTTTGTTGGACTTTTGGAGGCCGCTGTTTAGTTTGTCTTTGCTACCTGTGTTTTCATAAGTTTGTGCTCAATCAAAACCTTTATAGCTTTCTTCGGGTCCATTGTTACCTGTATCTAATCCTCTATATACCCAAAGAAAAAGAAGTCGGCTGTAGGTGTGTGGCAGTAGTACACATGAACTAATATCTGGAATTTATGTTGGTAACAAGTCAAAAAATGTAGACCTTGATGTTCGTCTGCATTACTTTTAGGAGTTTGTGCTTTGTGGTTCTGTTTCCGACTCATAGTTTTTTTGAAGTTGTAGATATATACTTACCATAATGTCTTGTGATGCTATAGCAATGGAGCTTCAGCAGGAGAAAATGTTATAAAGCTATTGAAAGTTGCTTGGATGACTATACCTCTTGGACTAGCCATTACTGCTGCAGCCTGTTCTTTTATCTTCTGGTGGCAGGAACTAAGTTATTCTGACCCATATGCACAAGCTATTCTTATAAATGGTAACCTTCTATCCTTATCAGACTTTGAGTAGTAAGTTTGCAGATTGTTTGTAAGTGGTTTGCAAATTGAACTCATTGTGTTTGGTTCTAAGTGGCACTTCTGAATAGCACTTTGGCCTTCTGCATAACATGCTCTCCCTGGGAAAGGCATGTGCAGAACCTGTTATAATATTTCCTTAACGCATCCTTTGGTTGTTTTGCTCTTTTGGCTTGCTGAGTTAGAATATTATGGCCTTAGATGCGATAACACTTGCTTAAGTAGTTAACCAGCTCAGTTGTTTTCCACCTTTATTAGGGAATAAGTGGATAAAAGTAGCTTAATACTTTGACAAAATACCATTTGATTGAAACTAATGACAAACCATCTTTCACTACTTGTCAATTCTCCTTTAAGAAAGCCAAAGTAAACCCATCTGAACCCAGTGCTTTATCCCTATTACTACTCATAATAGCATTCTTGATCTCTTCTTCTTCAAAAGCTAGTTCAAGAGTCGATGCCATGTCTTCACTAATGCGCTCAAAAGACAAGTCCTCAGGACGAGGACGAGCGTCGCAAGTCTATAGTAGTTCCCAATCTCCTCCTTTAGCAGATTAATGTCTTCAAAAGTATTCCTATCAATTTCCATTCTATTCAAAATTGCATCGCCTATGAACCCTAGCCATTCTGTGGAAAGTATCTTGTAGTACGATCCCTCTGTCTTAGTCAAAGGCTTCAAGACTTTTGCTTCCACATGATTTCTTCCAATCAGATCACATCAGCAAGATGCTTTTTCAGAAGTATTTGTTCTAATCTCTTGTTTTCTTTTCATCTTATGTCTTTTCTGGTAATCTAATGCATTAAACAATTCTTGCCATGACAATATTTTGGCTATACAGGTTTTGCATGTATGTTGGAACTTTTGGCTGAGCCTTTTTACATCCTCTCCCAGAACCTGCTTCTGCTCAAATTACGGTTATTGGTGGAGACAGCAGCAACATTTTTACGTTGCTTCACATTGTATATACTCATTGTTAAGCAAACTAACATGGTAAAGTTTCTGGTTACTAGTTATGAAAACTCTTATACAAGAAATAGAAGATATCTACCTTGCTGTTGGGCTGGTTGGTTCTGCTTGTTATGCTATTGAGTATACTTCAGTTTGTGAATTCTTGTGTCTTCTGCCTATCCTACATCTTCAATGTGGATAGTTGGTCCAAACGTTTAATTTTCAAGATGCTTTGCTGTTGAAATACTCCATTTGATCGATGAGTTTAATGAGCAGTTATTTACGTATTACATTCTGGTTTGATCAACTCTGCAATAGAAAAATCAGATAGGGAGGTTGGTCCAAATTTAGGTTGTGCCTTTTCTCCCTTGGATTTAGCAAATGGTAATGTGGATTTCGGAATATGGACATAACAGTGGATTCTCTGTATATCACATAATTGTTGCTTGTCCTTTACTCAAAGGAGCTGTTTTAAATGATTCTGCAGGAAAAGGCGATTGTATTTGCATTGTCACAAGTTGCATATGGAGCTTGCTTCTTCTTTGGTTACTGGGGTTTTTACCTTTTCTCAAGTTCATTCAAGAGTTCTGATCTTTTTCCTTTCAGGTATAAATCCATTTCTGTCCATGTTACTCTCATATCAGATACAATTTGGTTTGCCTTCATATATTCTGCTTTGCTCCTCTTCTGTCTTCTTATGCTGTGAGGATAATTTAGCTGGAACTTATGCTTATGCAGAGTGAGTGGTATGGCACACTTTGATGGTCAGCTTGCCAATATGTCCATGATATTCACTTTTCAGTCCTTTCGAAAGTTGATCCTTCAAGAAGGAGAAAAGATGGTTCTTGTATGGTTTGATACACCATATAATCAAGCTGTATATGGCCTAGTAGACAAACTAGGTAAGGCTTTTGGTACATTGTTCTTGTGTATAGTTAGTAACCTTTCTACGCACTAGAATGTTATGGATATGGTCATACTCTAATCGCATGAATTGGGCTTTTAACTTGCTTTTTCCTGTGCGTTATGTTTGAGAATACTTAAGTTGTTGGTTGAATGACTGTCAGGGAGCCTCGTGGTGAGGCTGGTTTTCCTTCCCTTTGAAGAAAGTTCGTATACAGCATTTGCAAGGTCCGCATCAGGTTTATTTCTCTTTTTTTTTTGTCCTTTTTCTTTAGATGTAAAGATATCTATCTTATGTTGGTTCCATGTTTCTCTGTATAGTCATGACACCTTTTGGTTTTGCTCTAGCTGACTAGCTGACTAGCAATTCGTTTCTATAGAATCTGTGACTGAAAAGGTCTTTTAAATTCCATGGGGTTTCAAATTTTGGTGAGAATATGAAGAAACACTGCCTCTGGGTGAATATAATTTGTCATGCCATGCAGAAAAAGAGCATGACTACAGATCTATCTGGCTATCTGTCATGTCAATCAACACTCGTTGCATCTGTTGCGATTTCACCTTGTGTTGATTAACACTTCATATTGAGGAGAGTAAAGAATATTGATGTTGCTATTACGGGGAGATCTTTTGCTTCTGTTACAATCCAACATGACCAACCACCTAACAACCATGACCAAGGCTTTCCCTTTAATTGCGACATGGATCTTTTCCCGCATTTCCACTGTAATATCTGGTATGTGTATTGAGATCTGGCATGACCAACCATGGAGGGAAGTTTTCCTTCAAAATATAGCAACAATTGGGTGGATACAAGTTAATAGGAACTTCTTATTGGAAATCCATGGAAGTGGTGATTTGACAAATGTGACTTTGCATGTTTTTGGCAAACTCGTAGAGACATATTTTAAGCTTTGTCTTAAGGCATCTTCCTGGAAGGCATGAATAGTACATTTCTGTCTGCACGTGCGTGCATGCATGTTTGGATTACTTTAGGCTTTATGGAACACTCTCCCAAGCAAGTCATGCATAGTTTGGTGGTAGAACTACGTCTTTTTTATCTTTTCTGTATTATGAGGAATGATTGCTGACATGGTTCAAAAGTTTTCCAATCTATTTATTCTTGGAGTAATAGGCAGAACTTGTACTCCAGTCATGCGCTATTTCTTAATTGTCATGTGTATATGCATCATCTACATTATTTTCAACGACTTATTTATATTTTATATTTTTATGTCCTTACAGGACAAAGTTCAGACAGAAGTCGGAAGATAGGAAGAAGTCTTACAGAGGCCCTTAAACTTGTCATGTTGATAGGTATGTTTCACTTAGTTTAATTTGTTTTATTTGGGAATTTCTTATTCTCAACCCTCTGTTTCCACATTTAACATAGAACTCTCAATATAGGCTGCTATGTAATGCTGTTTTATGTGCATGGCTGAGGAAACCCAGAAACATACAATCACTTAGCATTCTGAATGATAATTGCTTATCAATGTCTTCGCAGCTATGATTTCTATTTCCTTTTGTAATTAGCATGTACTTTCATCTCCAGATCGTGCTTATTAAAGAGTGAAGATGTTTAAAAGTTACTTCGTTCCATTTATCTGTATATTTATAGACATGATCAAGAATTTCTTATTGCTTTATTATCTAATCTATACGCAATGAAGCAGACACTGAAATGGGACTTGCATAATGCCCCTGGCCTTATTCTAAGTGGTTGAATCTTTTACTTGACCTATATTTTGGCTGATCGAATTGATGCACAACAGTTTCTAACTAAAGTAATACACCTCTTAGCTTTGTTGTTATCTGCAATTTTCCTTTATTAAACATTAGACCTTAATTAAAGCAATGATACTTTTCTATTAGTCACTTGCTTTATGCTCCTTGATGAGTTAGGTAGACTCTTTTGGCATATCTTTTACTTGAATTCCAGTATATGTTAAACCTAGTTGTCTTGTGCCTTCCTATTTTTTCTGTTACCAACAAAAGGTCATTGACTTGAAACTCAAACAACATGATTTGCTGTACTATCATACATTTGTTCGACTTTAAGAGTGTCTGAACAAGATAGTAATGAGGATTCAGGTTTTATAATATGCTTATCATGTTCCTCACTAGACAGAGCGTAAATGGAATACTATAACCAGTTTCATCTGTTAAAGCCTGTGGCAATATCCTGTTTGAATATGCTCTCTCTCTCTCTCTCTCTCTCTCTCTCTCTCTCTCTCTCTCTCTCTCTCATGTTATCTATGATTACATGCCTTGTAGGTCTTATATTTATTGCTTTTGGCCCAAGTTACTCTTACTCCCTGATAAGGTTGTTATATGGTCAAAAATGGAGTGATGGAGAAGCACCAACAGTCCTCCGCTACTACTGCATCTACATCTTTTTCTTGGCTATGAATGGTTAGTGATGTTTATTCTTTAAATTTGGATCTAAGATTTGCTGCTATTGCATATATAATCATTGTGAAGAGCAAGTGAAAATAATATGAGATGGCATTTAGGATAATTCCTTTGTTCTCATACTCCTCTCTCCTCTCCCTTTAGGTATTTTACTGCTAGCTTAGTTGAATGGGTCATGTTACCACAAAATTAGAGTACCAATTAATTGACGTTTCTACTACTCAATCACTCTATATTTGGTTCCCCGCGAATCGCCGTATAGATTAGGATGCTTCATAATCCTGAAATATTTTGTCAGCTTATATCGGAGCAGAAAGGAGATATCCAACTATATATTTGTTGATTATATAAGATCATGTCATATGGTGCAGTGTGATTTTCAACTAGCGATTGAAATATTTCATTTGGTCCTGTGGCAAACTGAAGTTCGTCGAAAAGCAAACTGTCTGACTCAGCCATCATGGAAATGCTTACATCACGTCTCTTCTGATTATGCATCAGGAACTTCGGAGGCATTTCTGCATGCAGTTGCGGATGAAAACCAGCTCAAACACTCAAATGATATGTTGCTCGTGTTCTCATCCATATATGTGATGCTAAATATCATGTTAATAAAATCAACGGGCGCAGTTGGCTTACTTATGGCAAATTCTTTGAGTATCCTTTTTCCCCATCTCAACTGGTGTATTTTCTTGTCAGTCTTCCATAGTTCAGCCAGATTGCTTGGATAAAGAAGCGAATTGTAGATAAACTCTGACAACTTTGAAGTCAACGCATCAGCCTATGCTTCCTTTTTCTTCAAATTTATAGGAAACCCTATCTTTGTTTTCAGCCCTTCCTTCCCCTATGTTCTGATCCATTTTTGTTGTCGTTTATTAAGGAGTGCTGGTACTTGGTAACATCGTTATCTCTTAAGATCAGGAGTTGAGATTCTGGGAGACTATGTAGATGAGGTTCTCGATTTTTGACTTCCTTGATTGGGTTAAGACATGCTTTTGAGGATAATCTACTCTGCAACGTTCATAAAAAAGTATTTCCAGGTATGACATTGAATTTGGATCTTTTGCTTGTCTTTCTTGGCAAGTCATATCCTAATTTTAATGTTTGATTTGGTGGTTTGCACAGGATTCTTCATCCTTTTCATTTCACAAGTGCTTCCCTTCAGGGTCAACAGTTTTGCTGCTTTCTGGTTTAGCTACACTTACCTCGGAGAAAATTTTCTTGGACAAGGAAAAGTTTTGGCCCTCATTTTTAGTTCATTTTTTTGTTGGGTTGACTTGCTTCTGCACATCAGCCTTTGTCATGTAAGCGACGCCTTCTTCTCTTATTTCCTTTCGTCAACTATTTACCATGGTCTTTTACTGTTTGAGTGTGTTGATGTATTTATGCTAAGCTCGTATGATTCTGCTCCAACAGTTATGCCCATGAGAAGGCTTTTGTGAACAGAGTTATCCGCTTTCGTGATCATGGCGATTGATATACCAGAAATCATACAAATCCTCAACCAGGTGCGCTCATGTTTTCTAAGGCAAACAAGTTTATGTTTGTTTTAATTGCTTAGTTCAGTGAATGATATTACAAAAGAATGATTGTTTTGCAAGAAAGAACATGCCAAGTAAATAGAATAATGCTTGCAATGTTCGACATTCTTGGCAACACAGCACCCTACGATGCAAAAACTAGAAAAGTTACTGGCAGAAATATGAATTTTGGCAAGAGATGAGCACGATATACTGGACACTACCACAGTTAAAAGAGAAAAAGCAAGCGTTCATCATATTTTTAGTTTATATGTTAATCTAGCAAGCAATAACCTAAAAATGGCACGAATTACAGACGTGTACACGATGACATGAGATGATTGCCTCCCTTGGGTCAGACACCACAGCCATCTATCATTCAGCTTTTCAAAATTATCGTTGGCTGAGATGGGACTCAGGAGGATGCCACAGTATCGTTGGCTGAGATGGAACATTCCCTACTACAGATGACATGGTCAACCCCCTACTTTCAAGAACATTGGAATCTAACTTTGTAGTTTACTATTTGAAGGAATTACTCAAAGAATGGGTAAATTAGTATTACCCCTTGGCTTGACCTATTGCAGCTCGGTAATTGGTTTCACACGATTATTCTCACTCTCATTGTGATAATGAAATCTGCATCATCTCTGGCAGGTGGTAGCCGGTAGGCAAAAGTTTGATGATGAAAACTAGATTGACATAGATGAGGGGCACGAGGAAAGGAGGTGATGTTTTACAAGACACCAGCGCCGTGCTCAATCGTACTCCAGTCTGACTGTAAGAGACGAGCAATAGGTTCAATTGGTAGTCATGAGCTATGAGAACTTCAGATTGATTAGCAGCAAAAAATGGATTGATGATTATTATTCAGATGTAGACCAGGCATTCTTTCTAAAAACAGAATGGTGACATTTTTAATTTTGCATTTGAAGTAAGATCCTTGAACAGATATTTTCGCTGAGGCCTTTTGCTTCAAAATGCAGGGAGGCACGAGCTGCCACCTCCGCAATCTCACTCGCGTTTTAGCTGGTTTTTAAATGCATGTGCGAATTAAATTCATTAAATCTTCAGTAATTACATGCATTATCTCAGGGAAAAACATTGAATAATTCACTCGGTTCGGCCCAGTAAATACTTGTCTGGATCATATGTCAGGGTAGAGTCGAGTATGATAATGTAATTACATCGATAAATTTCATTATCATAATTATACGAGAAGATCCGAATAGTCAACACGAATACAATGTTAAAATACGGATCACCGCTTCGCGGTGGTTGGCGACAGAAACCATATTTTTTGGCATATCTCTAGTTTAAGGGTTTTGTTGAGACTAACTAAAACACATCCTCCTTAAATCCAGTCGCGACTGCAACCCTAACAAGAGGAAACCCAATGTAGCTTCTTGCATATGACCACAATGGCCAACAACACATGCTCCAGACAAAGTACATAACATGTCGCTTCTTTTTCCGTACCAACTTGTGGTCTCATGTGATTATATGCAACATTCCTTCGGAATTCAAATGTCGCTCCTAACATCTTGTTGCACTTAGTTTATACTGGCGAGTTCTTTCACTAGGGATGCCGCGTATTTGGCTTTCCAAGGTCAACATGTGCGAAATGCATACAAGAGGAGCGCCAAACCTCAATACATAATGAATGACTATCATTTGGCGTCGGCGCACGATCTCCAATGTCAGACTAATGGCCAGCAATGGTACACAAATGCGCGTTTCACCGTCCAACTGAGATGCACAATTGCGCCAATGCACGTACGCAAACTTGTGAGTAGATAGCATGCAAGTGCTTCCCTTGTTATCCAGCCGTTGCCTGAGCATTGTCTATCCTGTGCTGAGGACTACCGAAATCCTAAGACAGCAAGCAATACACGCTAATGGCGCCTCTTTACCTTATGAGATTCCCGCTATCGACAACAGGTCATCACCATAAGAGTAAATCCTCAAAAAGTCTCGACACAGCATGGACAAGTCAGAAGCTGGTAGATGCAAGACAAGCGTTTCATCACCTCTGACATTTGCCTTAGTTCAGGTCAATGAATGCCTTGATCTAGCAATGTCACAACGCTAGCAAAACAAAATGACAGATTTAATCGGCTTCTCTAGGGTTCGGAACTCAGTCGAGTACAATAGTCCATGTGGCCGAGTATCATCACTAAAAGCAGAATAATATGGGGTGCCTCAGCAAGCTAATCATCTGACAGTAAGTTCAATCATATGAAATTCGACGAAATCCTCGTCCCATTTACTAATACTGCCCAAGCATCGATGTCGGTCGCGCATTTCCAACCCACCCACAATCCTACATAACAGAAGGAACAATAATCTGCAATGCACAATCCTCTGACCAATCCTCAAACAGATTGCCCTGTGCAGACACCATATATAGAACCAGCCATTTCTACTGACCAAAACCAAAGTCTCCAGCATTCAGATACTTGCAATGGCACGCTCACGAACAGTCACAACACATCACGCATCATCAACAGGGAGAATCAAAGCAGAAGGGGCAGCGAGATTCAAAAGCAGGAATTTGATTCGGAGAAAGGTACCCAATATTTAGATTCAACATCCGACACTAATTCTTAAAAGAGTTCACAACTTTAAATTCAAGAAAGAAACCCAAAAACCCACAACGGAACCAGAGCACTCCGAGCACTCCGACGGTCCCTATCGCCGCCGACGAGGATCTACTTGGATCTCTGCCTCATCTTTCGGCGCTTCCTCTTCAACCTCCTCATGCGCTTCTTCTTCCACTGTCACGCCACCAAACAAAGCGAAAAAATGGCCAAAACAAAAACAATCAATCACCAAAATCCCACCTTTCTAATCGCAGTGAACCAGTGGCAGAAGATCGAAATTTATCGAAGTTCTAAATCGCATCGCATCTTACCTTGGCTCTCATGGTTGAAGCCGATGTGCTCCTTCGCTCCTACGCCGTCAAAAACCCTATCTCTCCCTCTCTCGTTGGCTACTGTGCAAGTACCCGATAAGATTGATATGAGAGTGCCTGTGGCGACATGATTGGTATTTATAGGAAACCCTAGCCGATTGCTTCCTGGGCTCGTGTGTTCTTCATTTGGGCCTTCGCTCAGCCCACGTTTGGCTATCTGGGTCAGGGCCTTTTGTATAGTAATTTGCAGTGACTTGCGTCGCGGCCAATTGCAATTAGCCTCTCTAGAGCTAGAGGGATCAAAATCCAGATAGACCCGTTAATTATTGGAACATTCCATCCACCCAATTCAGATCTTTTGGTGTAACATCTCTACTTGCTGTTGATTGTCTTGTTAACATTTTGGACCTGCACAGATGATTCCTCCATGCATTTCTACTCGTAGTAGCAGGTTGTCTGTCGGAAAAAGCAAGCAAGAGGCTTCTTTGATGACAGATCTCTGCGTATCGATCGCATGATTGATGCGCCGTAACATAACCCGGCATCATCCTATGCTTCTGTCATAAACTAGATCCGCCTAAATCCACACTAATGACGAAGATATGGCCACTAAAGATAAAGCCCGAATGTGCGCCACCGTCTTAATCCTGCTCGTGCGCTCGTCCTTTTCTTTTCGCAATGTATTATCATGGCAACCATAAGTGCAGGGGGGAAATGATGGAGCATCTTGTTTTGTTGCTTCTTTCTTTCTAATGTCCCATTGAAATTGTGGTGGAAAATTATGCTGCAGAAAAAATTGTTGTGGATTTGACAACCCTAGGCCACAGTAGAGCTTTCCCTTCTCAGACTTTTGGTCTTTGGATCCACATTGCATCAAATAAAGCAAAGTTAGAAATCGGTACGCTGTGGGGTTGGTCACATGATGGCCATTGCACCATAGCTTCCTGTCCTTGAGCATCATCCACATCATCCTCATCCTTACTTAGCTACTTCCTCTCCTTGGCTGGTCTTTATTTTAGGCCTCTCGTACGTTTTTGCACCAGACTGATAGTGCAAAGTACTAAATGTTGCTTGCAAAAGGGCAGATTTTTATTCCCAATTCCGGAGCAGAAATGGAAAAACATCATTCATGTGAAGAATGTAATCCAGAAACAAGAGTCCCTTCTTCAGCTATCCAATATACGAACTCGTCTGTCTCTATTATCCTATTAAACTGCACCTAGTTTTGCACTAACTGCAATTGCCCAAGATGGTTTGGCCGTACAAAGAGTCAAATCTTGAGTTGCAAGACATGGCTAAAACGAGATCAACACCAACAAACAAGCATTATCCCTCTAAATCCGATCGATTATATGAATTTTGTTATGCCGTTATGCTTGATCATGTATTAGAGGATTCGCGGTTTTATACGCATGAAGCATCGAACTTTCTTCGCGTTTCTCTCTCTCTCTAACTTTTACCTGGTCATTAACAAAGCTTTAAGCACAACTTCAACTTGATTGATGAACTTTTACAGGAAGTCCCCTCTTCCAGTTCCATCAATTGCTTTGCCTTTTTAACTCCGTACTAATGTCTGAAACACCTCCAATCCCACAAAACTTATTATATCTACTGAAGTGCCACCTGTAAGAATACACTTCCCAAATGACCAAGCAAGAAAAAAAAATCTGCATAATTGCACATGTGCAAGTACTGTCTTTCATAGGAGGACACAAATTGTAAGTAGCTATGATTGTTCTGAGTTCAGGCCATTACACAGAAAATCAGACAGAGAGAGAGAGAGAGGGAGGTTTTTCTGGGCTTGAAGAAATGGAACAGACCAACCAACCTCTCTTGCGGCATGAGTCAAAATACATAAGGGAACTGGCCAAAATCATTCATGGGTTGGATTTGGGTCAATTCTGACGAACTCTGGCCGAAACTCTCATTCACTCCACTGCAACAAGGCATGTCGTCGAAAGACACCATACCAACGTTCTCATCCATCAAGACACTTGGAGAACTCGAACTCACTGCGGGCACGGCATACCGAGCGAGACGGGCCCGAGCAATGGCTAGATCATGTTGCAGCTCGACCATCTTCCTCTGGAGCAGCGCTATGGCCCCGATGCACCCATAGACCGGGTCCCGCAGCCTCGCCTCGGCCTCGTAAGCGAGCGAATTCACCGTGTCCTCCCGCTGCTCCTCAGGGACCTCGACCAGGATCTTGCTCACATTGCTTGCCCCAAACACCTTGTGCACCTTGGCGAACTTCTTCGGCTCGTCCGACCTGAAGTACGGCGCGAAGATGCAATTCGACGTGCACTTCCTCTTCAACAGCTTGCAGGCTGCACAGGAAGAGCTCGAGCGAGGCTCATGACCCTTCATTGCTTGCTTCATTCGCATCCACTGGTCTTAATATGTCCTCATGCTTTCACTAGCGCATCACTTAAATAGCCTCTCAAATTAGTTGGACAGAGACAGAGATACATACACATACACATTACACAAACTGCTCGAGTATTTTCATCATCAACCATTCTTTTTTTATTTACTTTACGTATCGTCATGTCCTGTTAAAGTAGTTGGTTAGAGCGACACGTACGTCGCAGGCTCGAGACCTTCATGGGCCATGTTTCATTTGTCCGCTCGAGAAGCGACTTAACGATTTTTGGACTTTCGAGTGCTGACAAGACTAATCAAAACCAGCTGAAAACATTATTTGCAATTTTGATATTCTATCTGTGACCTTGCGAAGATTATTGTTGTTGTAGTTTGAAGAGGACCTCTCGTGGAAAGAGAGATTAAAAAAAGGACTAAGCGTTTTTATTGGTAGGAAGCAGGATGGGTCCAAATAATTGAGCATGGTAACATCATATGTGTACTGATAAGTTGGACAAGACATGATAGTTCATCAACCAAAGTCAAGATATTTTTTTTATTTTCCTTTTTTTCGCAAGAAAAGCAAAATTGCGTATTTTGTCATTAAAGTTGGATATATCTTTTAGAGGGATTTTTGGGAGGGAGAATCTGTTCCACTGAAAATGGAGCCAAAACTGAGGTGACATCTTTTGTGCTTATATATGCTTTCAGGTATGAACATTTTCTGTCTGCAATTTGAATATACATACGTGTATAAGATCATTATATAAACTGGTCACTGGGCAAAATTTGTACGTATACTAGTGTTTCTTAATATGTAATTGATTCGATCCAGTGAAATGGGTTTATGGTGTTTTTTTTTTTTCTCTCGATAAACGCAAGCAATATTTCAGTGAATTTCAATGGAATTGCTACACGTTGGATTGCTCTCGGCTCTCCATATATAGTAAGTTATGAGATATAAGATATCTACAAAGCTTTTTGAGGCCTGTGGATAGTCAATTGTTGTGCTCATCAAGCTCAAAAGCTACTCCCACTCCAATTAATGCGATGGGGAAAATTAGCAAACCATCCTTATCAGGGTACAGAATTACAATAAATTATTACGCAAGTCAACGAAGATAAATTATAGGAACACTACCAAAGGACATCCTCCATACACAAATAGCGCATTTCTTCGTACTTGAGAAAGCTCAACCCCCTTTTATCTTTTCGCCCTAGAATACCGACATGGCTCCGAGATCGTTAATATGAATTAACCATCATCTCTCTCGTTCGTACCCTATCAATCGATTGAAATCGACTCGATTGCTAGCTGGCTTGAGAGTAATCGATTGAAAAAGGAAAACGAGTTGGGCCGCATTGTATGAACGAGCACACGACCGAAAATTTACTTCGAATTTTCGAGAAAGGGGAAGCATTGGATAAGCGTAACTTGAAAAGAAAAAGAGGGGATGGAGAAAGAAAATCGTCACTTCAACGATTAGGTGGAAAGGGGGGGCAAATGCGGCTGAAATGATGAAATAAAAACCCTCTCATTCCCACCCCCACAAAAAAAATAAAAAAAGAAGATGAAGAAGAAGAAGAAAGGGGTTTGGCCCAATAGCCCACTTGCATCTTTTGCCTGTCGTTTTCCCCCAAAAACGAAGATCGGCTGAGGGGACACTTCCCCCACGCGCCCGGCGGGGCCCGCCCACGAGCGGATCGGAGGCACCCGATTGGGCCGTGGTGCACACGCGCCGCGGGATGCGCGAGTGAGGCGTCGCGTCGTTTGGGGGGGGGGGGGGTGGTGGTTGTGAGGAGGAGGAGGAGGAGGAGGAGGGGGAGGGCGAGATACATGATGGGCCGGCCCAATATCGCATGATTAGAAATCACACAAAGAGAGAGGGGGGTTCGAAGCATCGTGTTGGGTGGTGGTGGTGGTGGGGATGCGCTGTTGTAGCTTTGACAATGGTTGTTTCCCGCACTGTTCGTCCAACTTGAGAAGGGGAGAAGGCCGAAAAGATAGCTAAATATTAGGTACACGTTTCGACCTCTCATTGGTCACTTCTTTAAAAAAAAAAGAGAGATTGAAGAGATAGAGACGGAGACACAGAGACAGAGACAGAGACAGAGTGATTTGACTTTTCCATTTTTCCCCTTCTCTCTCTCTCTCGAAAAGGGGGAAAATATAATTCGGACGGAACGTAATAATAATAATAAGAATTAAGTGACCGAACCCCGTCGCGTCGCGTCGTCTCCTACCTTTGCCCCAACCATGGGGGCCGAGGACTTGATGACCGGCGCGACGTTCGTGCTGGCAGGGGTCGAGCGCATCGACGATGGGGATGTGGTTGGACGGGACTTTGGACTGGCGGTGAAGGGAATCGAGAGGAAGGCGGCGAGGGAGATAGCGTCGGCACGCGTTGTTCATAGTGAATGCGGGGACGATGAGGGGTTCCGTCTCCAATTGCCATGACGCTCTTTTGTAGAGGCTTCGATCGTACGTACATGTAGTCAAGTGTCATATTGCGATTTGAAGGTTTGACATCGCGTTGACACGCCATTTTCGAACGCGTGAAAGGAAGTAATATGGTTTGTGAACTTTTATTATTCGCATTCCAAAACTAAGCTCAGGAAACATCATATCATGAATTGAGAAAATCGTCCAAAAAATTTCAAACCTATTGCATTTTTTATTAATTCAGTTCTAAACCGTTTAGGTAGCGTATGATAACCATTCTGATTCTGTCCAGAACTGATTTTCTGTTCCCAGAAATAGCTTTGGACCAGAAACCCGTTTGGTAACGCAATTCCATTTTTCTATTTCCGGAACAACTTTTTGTTCCATAACCGATTCTGAACTAGAAATCAGAACCGAAAAAAGTAGGTTTTCTATTTCTAGACCAAAAATGAGAATCATTTCTAAGAGAACTCTTTCTTCAAAACACATGTTCATCTGGAAGTCACGATCTTTGAGGTGGGAAAAAAAATCAAAAAATCAAAAATTTCAAAACTTCACAGAATGGTTTAGAATCTGTGGCTACCCACTTTGAGCGAAATTTAAAATTTTTTAGGTGCCGAAAAAAATAAAAAAAAATCAAAAATTTCAAAATTTCACAAAATGGCTTAGAATACCTATGGCCACCCACTTTGAGCGAAATTTAATTTTTTTTAGATGCCAAAAAAAAATATAAAATAATCAAAAAATATATAATTTAAAAACTTCACAGAATGTCTTAGAATACCTGTGGCCACCCAATTTGAGCGAAATTTAATTTTTTTAGGTGTCGAAAAAAATAAAAAAAAGCAAAAAATAAAAAATTTCAAAACTTCACAGAATGGCTTAGAATTCCTGTGGCCACCCACTTTGAGCGAAATCTAATTTTTTTTAGATGCCAAAAAAAATAAAAATAAGCAAAAAAGCAAAAATTTCAAAACTTCATAGAATGGCTTAAAATACCTGTGGCCACCCATTTTGAGCGAATTTTTATTCTTTTTATGTGCCTAAAAAAATAAAAATAAAAACAAAAAAGCAAAATATTTAAAATTTCACAGAATGGCTTAGAATACTTGTGGCCATCCACTTTAAGCGAAATTTAAAATTTTTTAGCTGCCGAAAAAAGTAAAAAAATAAAAAATTTCAAAACTTCACATAATTGCTTAGAATACCCGTGACCACCCACTTTGAGCGAAATTTAATTTTTTTTAGGTGCCAAAAAAAAATAATCAAAAAAGCAAAAAATTCAAAAATTCACATAATGGCTTAGAATACCTGTGGCCATCAACTTTGAATGAAATTTTATTTTTTTTAGGTGCCGAAAAAAAGAAAAAAAATCAAAAAATCAAAAATTTCAAAACTTCACAAAATGGCTTAGAATACATATGGCCATCCACTTTGAGTGAAATTTAATTTTCTTTAGGTGCCGAAAAAAAATTTAAAAATAAAAAAATAAAAAATACCATTTGGGCACCTAAAAAAATTAAATTTCACTCAAAGTGGGTGGCTAGAGGCATTCTAAGTCATTCTGTGAAGTTTTAAAATTTTTTATTTTTTTATGTTTTTATTATTTTTCGGCATCTAAAAAATTTTAAATTTCACTCAAAGTGGGTGGCCACAGATATTATAAGTCATTTTGTGAAGTTTTGAAATTTTTGATTTTTTGCTTTTTTTTTCACCTCAAAAAATTAAAATTTCACTCAAAGTGGGTGGCCACAAGTATTCTAAGCAATTCTGTGAAGTTTTGAAATTTTTGAGTTTTTGAATTTTTTTGGGCACCTTAAAAAATTTAAATTTCACTCCAAGTGGGTGGCCACATGTATTCTAAACTATTCTGTGAAGTTTTGAAATTTTTGATTTTTTGATTTTTTTTGGGCACCTAAAAAAATTTAAATTTCACTAAAAAGTGGGTGGCCACAGGTATTCTAAGGGTGCGTTTGGTACAGCATTTGGAATGCTACTTTGGGAATGCAAATGCCTTTGGGTGGAAGCCCTTTAGGAAAAATGCAAATGGCGTTTGGTAAAAACTCATTTGCAAAGCTATTTTGACCCAAGTAGTGTTTGGTTAATTTTTTTTACAAATGGGCTTTGAGAGGGTTTTTTTTTAAAAAAGGCAAAAATACCCTTCGCCGGCTCCGGCGAAGGGCTACGGCTCCGGCGAAGGGCTACGGCCGCCGGCGGAAGGGCTACACCGCCGCCGGCGAGCCGGATCTGGCGCCGGGCGGCCGTCGCCCGTCAGCCGAGCGACCCCGGCGAGGGACGCCGACCTCGGGCGACGAGGCCCGAGGTCGCGCGACCTCGGGCCGACGGCCGCCCTGGGTCGCGCGACCCGGGCCGACGGCCGCCCGGGTCGCGCGACCCCAGCCGACGGCCGCCTGGGTCGCGCGACCCCAGCCGACGGCCGCTGGGTCGCGACCCAGGCCGACGGCCGCCTGGGTCGCGAGACCCCAGTGCCGACGGCCGCCCGGGTCGCGAGACCCAGGCCGACGGCCGCCCTGGGTCGCGAGACCCAGGCCGACGGCCGCCTGGGTCGCGAGACCCCAGCCGACGGCCGCCTGGGTCGCGACCCAGCCGACGGCCGCTGGGTCGCGACCCCAGCCGACGGTCGCTCGAGGTCGCGGGACCCGGCGGCCGCACTGGGCGTCGCCCGACCCCGAGCGGCCGCGCTGGGCGATCGCGACCCGGCGGCCGTCGCTGGGTCGGGCGACCTCGCCGGACCTTCGCCGTCGCCGGCCCTTTGCCTCGCCGGAGTCCCTTTGGTGAAGAAGATGAACAAGAACGAGAGGGCAAAGCTGGAATATTGAAATTTGAGTGAGGGTAGTTTGGGAAGTATAAAAATGATTTTGGCATTTGGTTCAAGGCTGAAAGTCCAAAGCTAGTCCTGATAGCATTGGGCTTTCAGCATTGAAAATGCTAGTTTTGAGCATTTTCAATGCTCAATGCTAACCGTTTGGTTCAGCATTTTTGGGAAGGGGCTTTCGGGGCTGAAAGCCCCTTCCCAATGCTGTACCAAACGCAACCTAAGTCATTCTATGAAGTTTTGAAATTTTTGATTTTTTTATTTTTTTTTAAAAAATTCAACAAATTTCCTATTTTCCCGAAATCTGAATTTTTTTATTTTTTGGAAATTATGATGAATTATTCTAGAATTTTTCAATTTTTTTGGATTTTTTGAATTTTTTTGAGATTTTTAGGAATTTTTTGGATTTTCTAATTATTTTTATTCCATTTCTAAAAAAATGGATTTTTGTTCCTGGAAATAGAATTTTGTGTTGTTTATCAAACGGGTTTTTGTTTCAGGAAATAGAAATTTTATGCTGTTATCAAACGGGTTTCTGTTCCAGAAATAGAAATTTTTTGTCGTTATCAAACGGGTTTCTTTTCTTATGAACTCATCCTGGAACCATAAATAGAAAAATCTATTTCTGTTTCAGGAACTCATTCTGGAACAGAATGGTTATCATTCGCTATCTTAGTTGTGCCAATTGAAACACAAATATTTTCACATTTTACCAATTTTGAGTCAATCCGTTCAATTTTCCAATTTTGATCGGAAATTGTTGACATGGACGCTGGCTGCCCTGCATGGTATGACTTGCTCTGACATAGATAAAATTTAATAATATTTTAATATTTTTTCAAATATATATTTTTTCTTTTTTCTTTTTTTTTCTTTTCTTCTCTTTTCCTTCTTTACTTTTTTTGTTTTTCCCTTTTTCCCTCCGCCACGGCTCATGGATGGCCGACATAGGGAAAAAGAAAAAAGAAAAGAAGAGAATAGGAAACAAAAGAGAAGAAAAGAAAAAAAGGAAAAAAATAATAAATATTATTAAAAATTGTCAATGTCAGCACCGATCGTGGCACGTAAGATGATTGGCGTTCACATCAGTGATTTCCTGCTAAAATTAGCCGGACGGACTCAATTGGCAAAACTTAAAAAGATTTAATACTCAATTGGTATAATTAAAAGGTTTAAGATTGAATTGGCAAAAGTATAATAGATGCAGGACTTTTTGTATAATTTTCCGGTCATTAATCTATACTTGTAATGCTAGTAGCACTAACCAAAGATATGAAGACCAATTATATATCGATAATTTATTAGTGACAACTTTAAGCAAGCAATCCTTCAAGTGTCCAATAGTCTCCATTCTCTTCACTTTATAAATCGATTCTATAAATAAGAACATATCCCTCCACTCATGTCACGAGTCGTTGTGTAATCACAGAGGATTTATGAGGCCAAGGGGCGTAAGATGGCGGCGGGAGGACTGCCGCCGGTGCACAGACGGAGGGGAAGCATATTGCCGAGCCGGCGGTTGCTGCAGCGGGCGGCTCTGCGAGGACCGGCAAAACCGCGACTCTCAGGCCTACAAGACCAACCTCACGTCCCTGGTCTCCAATTTGCAATCCACCCTCGACGACACCCCCGTCACAGACACGATCCAAAACCTACACAAATATGGTCAGTTGGGCACTTTTAAGGTCTTTGGTCTGAATCTACTACCATTAATCAAAACTTGTAATTGCAGAAATTTTGCCGAAACGCAGGTGGCTTCACCGCTAATCGACATTTACGTGTATATGGTGTAGGATTTGATGCTATGCTACGAGGATGCCGCGGCGCGGGGCCATTGGAGACGGGTTCTCTCTGCGGATGGACCCGTATTGCCGACATGCCCTGACGCTTCCAATTTCCTCTTCCGGGACTCTGTACACCTGACCGGAGCCGCTTACTCCTACCTTTTCAAGCATTCGCAACCAACCATGCTAATTTAGAAATTTAATTTGAATGAGCCAGATATTCTCTTGTTTCGCTGATAAATCTAAACAGTGCCATCTGCAAAAAAAAGAGTGCCGTCATGTTTACTGCATTACACGTTTCTTAGTACTTCGAACTCTGTATTTGGCAAGAAATCGAAGAAAAATGAAGAAATCAAAGGGAGCACATATGTAAGGATAGATAAATTTTCTTCCATATGTTTATAAAGAAACGTGTGTATGATTCGTTCAGTAATACAGCAGCCAAAACAGAAAAAAAAACAGAGCGCCTTGGGACACATCTCAATACACACTCGCATTTTGACCATAAGTAAAAGGCCAATCGAAAGAAAGTGATGATGAAAAGTCGTAGAGAAATAATGAGAGACGAACTAATGATGGAACTCTTGTGAGAAAAACCAACTCATTAATCGATTAAGCGTGTGTCCCTTCCGGAGGGCAATATGAGGGGCGGAAAGCCAACGGCCCTGCGGCGTAAACGACAGCGTTGTACTCCTTCCTGTACAGCGTCTTGTTCTCGTAGTGGAGCGGGGCCCCGTACATCCCATAGTTGATGTTGGACAAGAGGTTGCATTCCTCCTGGGGCGACGAGACGAGCTTGATGCGGCAAGCATGGAGCGGGTGGTCCAGGATGGGGTGGCTCATCTCATAGCCAGTGAGCTCGGCATAGAAGTAGCCGCTCTCCTCTGTCTGGAAGGTCTTGTAGTAGGTGACGCGGTTCTTGTAGTTCTTGCAGACGACGCTGACCTTTGCCGAGCCGAGGGGCTTCGCCTCCGACAGGGACCAGGTGCCGGAGTACTTGCAGCTCTGGCAGTAGACCATGCCCTCGACGATGACTTCCACGGGCTTGGGGACGGTCTTGCTGGGGACGTGCTTGTCGGTCGCCGAAGCGGAGGAGATCGACGCTAGTAGGAGGAGGATGAGGGAGGACAACATGATGGTGAGCTTGGTGTAAGCCATCCTTCTTTGTTAGAGAGGAGTTTCTTGTTTGTGTTATATTAAGAAGAGAAGTTGCCGAGATGAGTGAAGTGTCAAGGAAATTGGAGAGATTTATATAGTTTTTGCTAGTCGGCTGATTTAGGGGTCGTGGCAACCACAATGTCGTATTACATGGGATGCACTCCGCATTTTCTAAGCCATTACATGAAGCCCACCATCGAAAATAGTGTTGCTGTTATGGGTGTGGTTTGCATGTCAAGTTTCGGTCTCAAATACATGGAACCATATATTTGGTACATATGATAAAAGGAGTTTGGTCGCAAATGACTCGTATATCATATGTAGGTTCGACATTTGATCATTTACCCTAGTACCCGATTATGATCAAATGTTAAACATGAACTGTCAACTTATCTTCAAGTGTGATATTCGAATTTTGTAATCGTATTAAATTATGTCATTGAAGAATACTAAAGTTTTGCTCTTTATGCTATAAAACTTTTCTATATATGTTAAATGTGTTTGAGTTTGTGTTCCTCTCTGATTTGCCAAATAATCTCGTTCAATATCAGAAATTGCCAACCTAGAATGTCATGTGCTCTTTCAAAACTGCTTTGGAAAGCAGAATTTTTGCTTTTTCTAATTCAAATCGATTCATGACAGTGATTCAGGTCAGCCGAAAGAAATTTTACACAAATGGAACTTATAGCAACATAATTGATGGACTTCAAATCTAGGGTTTAGGTTGCGTTTGGCAATCACTTTGCCAAAGGCCCTTAGCCAAATGCTAAGGCGTCTAGCAAATTTTTTTGGAAAGTTTTGGTGAAATGCACTACATTTCTAAAGTCCTTTAGGTCCCTTAACTCAAGACAGCCTCGCCGCATCTTTACGCTTTAGCATTCTAATATATTTCTTTTCTTCCATTGTTGTCCTCGCCATATTTTTGAAATTTCGAAAATGGCCTCACCATTTTCCACCTCATACGACCTGCTAGAGACGCTAGGCAACCCCTTTATGAGGTTGCATGACCCCAAGCGATGGCCGTTGGTGCTAGATATGGCTCGTTGGCAGCTTGAGCCCTTTGTCATCATAGGGTGAAGGGTTTGAGTTCATTTTTTTTTTTAAATAACAAAAGTCATTTATAAGTGTGATTTTTCTAAACATCATTTAAACCTAAGTTGCTTCGCAATGCATTTTCAAATTACACTTCACCAAATCTTATTTGCATTTCGAAAAATCCCTTCCACGGCCGTGCGGACGATCTTGTTGGGGACGATCTTGTCGGCACCGATGCGAAGGAGATCAGCATCCGTACAATTGATTTAGAAGTTTTTCGGTAATTATCCCCTTTCATGGCCCCCCACGTGGAACTAGCATGATACTTTTAATCTGAAAGCAACGGGCATTGTTGCATTAGAATTGTGTTTGTCAACACAACACTAGCCTTATCCTTTTCATTGAACGAATGTCAACGAATGTTATGAAAGGATTTGAACTAGAAAAAGCAAACACGCTCCTCTCCAAAGTAGTTTTCGAAAGAGCACGACATTCTGGGCTGGTAATTTCTGATATTGAATGAGATTATTTGGCAAATCTGAGAGTGACCCAAACTCAAACACATTTAACATATATCCCTAAGTTTTATAGCATAAAGAGCAAAATTTTAGTATTATTCAATGACACGATTTAATACTATTACAAAATTCGAATATCACACGTGAAGATAAGTTGCTAGCTCATGTTTAACATTCGATCATAATCGGGTACTAGGGTAAATGATCAAATGTCGAACCTACATATGATATACGAGTCATTCGCGACCAAACTCCTTTTATCATATGTACCAAAAATATGGTTCCATGTATTTGAGACCCAAACTTGACATGCAAACCACACCCATAACAGCAACGGCTATCATCAATAGTGGGCTTCATGTAATGGCTTAGAAAATGCGGAGTGCTTCCCATGGTAATGCGACATTGTGGTTGCCACGACCCCTAAATCAACAGACTAGCAAAAACTATATAACTCTCTCCAATTTCCTTGACACTTCACTCATCTCGGCAACTTCTCTTCTTATCTAACACAAACAAGAAACTCCTCTCTAACAAAGAAGGATGGCTTACACCAAGCTCACCATCATGTTATCCTCCCTCATTCTCCTCCAACTAGCGTCGATCTCCTCCACATCGGCGACCGACAAGCACGTCCCCAGCAAGACCGTCCCCAAGCCCGTGGAAGTCATCGTCGAGGGCATGGTCTACTGCCAGAGCTGCAAGTACTCCGGCACCTGGTCCCTGTCGGAGGCGAAGCCCCTCGGCTCGGCAAAGGTCAGCGTCGTCTGCAAGAACTACAAGAACCGCGTCACCTACTACAAGACCTTCCAGACAGAGGAGAGCGGCTACTTCTATGCCGAGCTCACTGGCTATGAGATGAGCCACCCCATCCTGGACCACCCGCTCCATGCTTGCCGCATCAAGCTCGTCTCGTCGCCCCAGGAGGGATGCAACCTCTTGTCCAACATCAACTATGGGATGTACGGGGCCCCGCTCCACTACGAGAACAAGACGCTGTACAGGAAGGAGTACAACGCTGTCGTTTACGCCGCAGGGCCGTTGGCTTTCCGCCCCTCATATTGCCCTCCGGAAGGGACACACGCTTAATCGATTAATGAGTTGGTTTTTCTCACAAGAGTTCCATCATTAGTTCGTCTCTCATTATTTCTCTACGACTTTTCATCATCACTTTCTTTCGATTAGCCTTTTACTTATGGTCAAAATGCGAGTGTGTATTGAGATGTGTCCCAAGGCGCTCTGTTTTGTTCTGTTTTGGCTGCTGTATTACTGAACGAATCATACACATGTTTCTTTATAAACATATGGAAGAAAATTTATCTATCCTTACATATGTGCTCCCTTTGATTTCTCCAATTTTCTTCGCTTTCTTGCCAAATAGAGAGTTCGAAGTACTAAGAAACGGGGTAATACAGTAAACATGACGGCACTGTTTAGATATATCAGCGAAACAAGAGAATTTAGATACATACAAACTAATGAAGTAAAAAGGAATTAGGGCTCATTCTAATTAAATTTCTAAATAAGCATGGTCTGCTGCAAAAACTTGAAATGGTAGGAGTAAGCGGTTCCGGTCAGGTGTACAGAGTCCCAGAAGAGGAAATTGGAAGCATCGGGGCACGTCAGCGATACGGGTCCGCAGAGAGAACCCGTCTCCAATGGCATGGTTTGCATGAAGCCCACTGTCAATAATGTTTTGCTGTTATGGGTATGGTTTGCATGTCAGGGTTTCGGTTTTAGATACATAAATTATGTTTTTGGCTGAATATCAGAATTTTCTGGCATATGACTCGTATATGTAGGTTCAACATTTGATCATTTAGCCTAGTCCTGACTAATTTGAGGTTAAACGTGGGCAGGTAATTCATATTCACGTGTGATATTCGGAGTTTGTAATCCTATACAATTATATCATTGAACTATAGTTTTGTTAGCACTACCAGATTTGCCAATTAATCATGTCAAGTATCAAAAATTGCCAACCCAGAATGTCATGTGTGTTAGTGGTCTGCCCTAAGAATCAATCAAGGTTGATACTCTAATATTAGTTGTGGATTAGGTTGTGTCGGAAAACCGATCTTCACTATACTTAGGTAGTCATAATGTGTTGCTAGAGACCGCTTATGACTTGTGGGCCAAAAAGAGTTTTGAGTACACTGCTAATGTTTAGTGAACCTACATGGTCGCACACAATAGCGAACGGACTTAATATTGTCTGTGCGCCTTGATCTACTTAAGAAGTAGATTTTAATTTATTCTCCTATTTAAATTATCTATGCGGTCGTACGCGTTATGAGATAACGATTAAACATACGATTGAAGGTGGACAGTTTGGCGGGCCCAAATAGCCCGGCCCACTTCTTTTAATTCCGCTAGATAATGAGGCTGTATAAATAGATAGAGAATCGTTCTCTGTCTAGGGTTTTTCGATAGAGTATCGAAAATCAAAAAGCGTTCAAGAAAAGGAACTTCAAGATCTTTCGCTAGCACGTGGATCGTTGGAGAATTCCGTTCGTGTGTGTGGATACCGGTAGAGGCACAACACTTGGGGCGCTAATCCAGACACAATCGGTTGCCGATTTATCTTCGATTTGCAAAAGGTACGTATCGAACTTTCGTCTCGATTTCAATATACACATGGATCCTGTCTAGGGTTCTATATTCCGCTGCGTTGTTTTCGTTGATGAACCCTACAATGTGTTCTTTCGAAACTACTTTGGAAAGCAGAATTTGCTTTCTCAAATGCATGACATCCGCTCAGGACAGCTAAAACAAACTCCACACATATTGAGTGTACTGCATATAATTGATGCACTGTAACTGTAGCGTTTAGTATCTCACAGCTTGATCTATCTATTGGGTTAACCAAGATCATCCGTGATTGCCTGAATCAAGATGGCATTGAGTCATTCACAGGATGAAATGGGAACTGCTTGTTTTTCCAATCTCGTTCAGTGTTTCTTTACAAGCTTAAAAACTCAGAAATGTCTGAGAGATTAGTGAAAAGAGGAAGGCTCGTGTAATGCAACAATGCCTGTTGCTTTCAGGTTAAGAAATACGTGCTTACTAGTTACGGTGCAAATTTTCAAGCATTTTTCGTTTTGACCACCTCAAGTCCTAGGGCCGGAGATCATTTTTGGTGGTGATGATCCCACGATGTGATTCTAAATCAACGAAATTACAAAAGTTACTAATTGACACCGCGCTACAAAGTCCATTGGATTCCGCTTTAATTTTGCTTTCCAAGGTTTATAGCTTTGATGCGGTGACTGGTTGTTCCTCCATTCTTTGGGTCCAACCCCAGTTGAGACAACATAACCAGACACAAGTAAAAGGAAAGAATCAACACCAGCGTGGACCTCACAAGATCAGCAGCCACAGCTAAGTGAGAAGGCTAGAAAGAGAGCAATGCAGTGCTCAGAAAAAGGCAAAACTTTTTACTCAGGATTCTTCAGATCTTCGTGCTTCTGGTGTGTGCTTCAACAGATCCCTATGAAGAGCACGACCAACGAAAGAATAAGACAACTAACCTAATTTTTCTACATTCATACAAGGCGAGTGTTTCATCTGTCACCTGAATTTTCACAAGCCATCGATTATCCTGTTAACATCCCCTTCACTTCAATTACGTACATAGCCTAAGAATAACACACCACCCACTTGTAGATTTGAGCAAATCAACTCTTATTTATTGCACAAAAACTTCAAAATACTTTTCATGTCCTTACTAACACCTCAAGAAGGGGGAAAGTGTGAGAAAAGTTATAAACTTATTGTATTTGTGCCAATTTAGACATAAGCCTTTTTAATTATACAAATTTAGTCATAAATGACCAAGAGTCAATTTAGTCATTCCAGTTAATTTTGGCCGAATATTACTGATATGAACGCTGACCGATCTACGTGACACTGTCAATGATGACATGGAAAATTTTAATAATATTCTCCTTTTTTTCTTTATTTTTCTCTCTTGTTTCCTCATTTTTTTTGCGGTGGTCAGCACGACCATCGCTGGTGAGGTTGCTCTCACCAGATTTGGCAAGCCCAGGCGTCGCTTGGGTGAGGATTGGCCTCATTGGGCGTCACTTGGGCGAGGGTTGGCCTCGCCTTGCTTGGGCTCGCAAGATCTATCGAGGGCGGCCTTGCAAGCACTCACCCTAGTGAGGCTGACCCTTGCCGACCATGGTCGTGCCGGCCACCGAAGAGAGAGGAGGAAAAAAAGAGAGAGAAAAAAAAGAAAGGAAAAAAGAAAATTATTATTAAAAAATATCTACGTCAACACCAGTTGTGCCATTTAGGCTAGCCGACGTCCAAGTTAGCAATATCTGACCAAAATTAACTGAAATGACTGCATAGGTTTAGGATTAAATTAGCATCAATACAATATGTTTACGACTTTTCAAAACACTTTTCCCCCTCGAGAAGAGATTATTGGTCATTATTTCAATATAATGATCCTTGTCCTAGGTTTATTAAGAGAGTTAATTATCTCGTGGTGTTACCAAGTCAAAAGCCAATTATGACAACCATCATCCTGGAAAATGGTTCCTCTTCCCCGCGGTATACGAGAAGATGGACGAAATTCTTGTGATTTACTTTTGATAAGAGTGCCAATCCACAAGTATCATCAGAAGAAAAAGTCATTTGATCTGTTTAACTGGAAAGGCTATTACTAATACAGCAGCGAAAACAGAACGCCTTGGGACACATCTGAGGACACACTCGCATCTTCACCATAAGTAAAAGGCTGATTGAAAGAAAGTGATGCTGAAAAGTCGTAGAGAATAATGAGAGACGAACTGATGATCGAACTCTCTGAGAAAAACCGACTGATTAACTGATTAAGCGTGTCTCTTCCGGAGGGCAATAGGAGGGGCGGAAAGCCAACGGCCCCGCGGAGTAAACGACCGCCTCGTACTCCTTCCCATACAGCCTCTTGTCCTCGTAGCGGAGCGAGGCCCCGTACATCCCATAGTTGATATTGGACAGGAGGTTGCACCCCGCGAGAGGCGACGAGACGAGCTTGACGTGGCAAGCATGGAGCGGGTGGTCCAGGATGGAGTGGCTCATCTCGAAGCCCTTGAGCTCGGCGTAGAAGTAGCCGCTCTCCGAGGTCTGGAAGGACTTGTAGTAGGTGACGCGGTTCTTGTAGTTCTTGCAGACGACACTGACCTTGGCCGAACCGAGGGGATTCGCCTCCGCCAGGGACCACGTGCCGGAGTACTTGCAGCTCTGGCAGTAGACCATGCCCTCGACGACGACCTCCATGGCCTTGGGGACAGTCTTGCCGGGGACGTGCTTGTAGGTCGCCGAAGCGGAGGAGATCGACACTAGTAGGAGGAGGATGAGGGAGGACAGCATGATGGTGAGCTTGAAGTAAGCCATCCTTCTCTGTTAGAAAGGAGTTTCTTGTTTGTGTTAGACAAGAAGAGGAGTTGTCGAGATGAGTCAAGTGTCAAGGAAATTGGACAGATTAATATAGTTTTTGCTAGTCGGTTGATTGAGGGATCGTGGCAACCACAATGTCGTATTACATGGGAAGCACTTTGCATTTTTTAAGCCATTACATGAAGCCCATCATCATCGATGAAAGTGTTGCTGTTATGGATATGGCTTGCATGTCAGGGTTTCGGTCGTAGATAAATGGAACCATGTTTTTCGGTAAATTTGATAAAAGGAGTTTGCTCGGAAACGACTTGTCTATCATTTGTAGGTTCGGCATTCAATCATTTAGCTTAGTCCCCGACTAATAAAATGTTAAACATGGACCAGCAACTTAGGTTCACATACAATATTCGAATTTTGTAATCGGATTGAATCGTGTCATTGAAGAACGCTAAAGTCTTGCTCTTTATGCGGGAAAAGTGCTGAATAAGTCCTAAACCTTTTGAGAAAGTGTCAATTTAGTCATAAACCTATTTTTGGTGCCAATTGAGTCCTAAACCTTTTGATATAGTGCCAATCCAGTCCTTTTGGCCGGATTTTGCTGACGTGGACGTCGGCCGGCCAGCGACCGGTCACTGGAGCTGACTTGGACAAAATTTAATAATATTTTAATATTTTTTTGAATTTTTTTTTCTTTTTTTCTTCTCACTCTTCCTCCAGCCTGTCGCCGGAGCGGCGACCGGCCGGAGGGCGAGCCACGCCGGCCACTGGCGAGGCTCGCCCTCGCCGGCGACGGCGAAGGCGAGCCTCGCCATGGCTGGGCGAGGCTCGACCTCGCCCGAATCCCGGCGAGGTTGAGCCTCGCTGGCAGCTGGGCAAGGCCCGACCTCGCCAGATCCGACGAGGTCGAGCCTCGCCTAGTCATGGCGAGGCTCGCCGGCCCTCGCCATGGCGGGCGAGGGTCGACCTAGCCGAGATCCGGCGAGGTCGGGCCTCGCCCGCCCTCGCCCGGACCTCGCGACCTCGGCGAGGGGCCGAGCGAGGCTCGCCCGGCAGGCAGGCGAGGCAGGACTGGCCGGATGCGGCGAGGTCGACCCTCGCCCGGCCATGGCGAGGCCGGCGAGCCTCGCCGGCCAATGTGAGGCTCACCCTCGCCGGATCTCCGGCGAGGTCGGGCCTCGCCCGGCCGCCGGCGAGGCTCAACCTTGCCAAATCCGGCGAGGTCGAGCCTCGCCCAGCCATGGCGAGGCTCGCCTTCGCCGTCGCCGGCGAGGGCGAGCCTCGCCAGTGGCCGACGTGGCTCGCCCTCCGGCCGGCAAGGTTGCCTGGCCTCCGGCCGGTCGCCGCTCCGGCGACCGGCTGGAGGAAGAGGGAGAAGAAAAAAAAAAGAAGAAAAAAAGAAAAAAAAGAAAAAAAATATTAAAATATTATTAAATTTTGTCCACGTCAGCACCGGTGACCGGTCGCCGGCCGGCCGACGTCCACGTCAGCAAAATCCGGCCAAAAGGACTGAATTGGCACTATATCAAAAGGTTTAGGACTCAATTGGCACTAAAAATAGGTTTAGGACTAATTTGACACTACCCCAAAAGGTTTAGGATTTATTCGGCACTTTTCCCCTCTTTATGCTATAAGACTTTCGTACGCGCGTGTCCCTCTCTGATTTGCCAAATATATCAAGATATTACCAACCCAAAATGTCGTGTTCTCTTTCGAAAACTACTTTGGAAAGGAGAATTTTCGCCTTTTCTAATTCCAATGCATTCGTGACATTCTTTCAATGAATGAAAAGGATAAGGCAACTGTTGTGTTGACAAACACAATTCTAATGCAACAATGCCCGTTGCTTTCAGATTAAAAGTATCATGCTTACTAATTACAGGGAGTTCCACGTGGGGGCTATTAAAGAAGATAATTACCAAAAAAGTTATAAATATATTATACGAATGTCGATTCAATTATAAACTTTTTAATTTAGTCAATTTAATCCTAGACTTTTGATGATGATGCCAACCGTTCGACATGATCCGGCCGGGCCAGCACTGACATAGATAATTTCTTTATAAAATTTTTAAAATTTTGTCTTTTTTTTTTTATTTCCCTCCGCCAATCCGTGGCCTCGACAAAAGCCGTGACGCCCTCGCCTGGTCCAGGTCTTGTAAGGGTGTCATGGCCCTCGCTACGGCCGGCAAGGGCCTCAGCGAGGGCCACGAGGGCGTCCCAACCCTTGCCTTATTGCCGAGGCCGTGGACCGGCGAAGGGATATAGGAAAAACAGAAGGAAAGAAAAGAAATAAAGAAATAAATATTAACTTTTTAAAAACTTGTCCACATCAACGATTGCCGACCAAAATTGACTAGAAGGACTACATGCGCAAATCGTCAAAACATTTAGGACTAAATTGATCAAATTGAAAACTTTAATACTGAATTGGCATCTGTACAATACGTTTTAACCACGAAAAAGTCTCCAACATGGGACGAGGAGGTTAAGGAATGCTAGAAATCACCTTTTTTCTTATCAAAATGGAGCAACAGGTACATTAATCCGAGCATTTATCTTTTTGGCTATTGATCGCACGACGTAATTCTAATTCAACAAAATCACAGAAGTTAATTGACACCGCGCTATGAAGTTCATCGGTTCTACACTTCTAACTTCAATTTGCTTTCTAAAGTTCATAGCTTTTATGTGGTGGACCTGGTTGTTCCTCCATTTTCTGTGAATCCAACCCAAGTTGATACAATATAACCAGATACAAGTAAAAGGAAAGAACCAACACCAGCGTAGACCTCGCAAGATCAGCAGCCACAGCTAAACGAGAAGGCTAGAAACAGAGCAATGCAGAGCTCAGAAAAAGGCAAACTTTACTCAGAATTCTCCAGATCTTTGTGCTTCTGGTATGTGCTTCAACAGAGCCATATGAAAAGCACGACCAACGAAAAAATAAGACGGCGAACCTAAAATCTTCTACCTCATATATACAAGGCATGTGTTTCATCATCACCTTTCTTCAGATACAAAGCAAACAAGAAAAGCTTGAGCTCGTACTTACAGTTTTAGTTTGCATCAGTAGATAGAACCTCGAGTTCCGCCCACCAAACAGGTGAAATTTTCGGGATTGCCACGTCGCGCGTAATTCTGGTTATTTCCCACAACATTGCCACCACTTCTCTCATTGCTGGTCTAACTCTCGGGTCAGGGTGGACGCATGATTTTATCACTTGTCCAATTCTATCCACCTGTTCCTCTTGACAAGAATCAAGGCTTGGATCCACCATTCCCCTGAGAGGTTGCTCTCCTCTCAAATAATCCGAAGCCCAATCTTCAACGGAGCCGTTATCTACTGAATAAGGAAGCCTACCGGTTACCATTTCAAACAGTATTACGCCGAAGCTGTAAACATTGCTCCTGGGTCCTCGTGAGGTAGAAACGGTGTTTAAGAGGTCTATTCCAGATTGTTCAATCTTGGCTGCAGCCATGTGGTTCCAGAAATTGAAGTCACAGATCTTGGCGGCGTAATCTTCGGTGAGGGTGACGGCTGAAGAGTTCAAGTTCTTGTGCACCATTGGCGGGTTCATCAAATGCATGTGCTCGAGGCAATATGCCATGCCCATCGCAATTCTCAGCCGCATTCCCCAGTCTAGGTGCTCGGATTCTTTAACTGCAGAAAAAGGAAGAAAGAGGTGTAAGAGATGGATTGTATGCACTATTATGTATAATACTTGCATGTCATTGTCTTCAAGTATATAAAAGAATAGAAATCTGCTATGCATTAAACTGAGTAATGACTAAAAGCTGCTATTGTTTATGAACATCCTCCAAAAGAATTAGCATTCAGAAGTGATGCTTGAGGACCAGATATTGCAAATTCAGTTGGGCCTACAATCTAAACAAATCAAAATAGAATTTTTTTTATTTTATTTTTCAACTAGTTACATAGTCATTTCTAGATGAAAGAAATGGTCCTTCTGCGAAACCATCACTTGTGAAGCATGAATGAATGAATGATTCCTTAAATACAATGTGATATAATATGTCAGTACTTACTATGTAAATGCTCAAAGAGAGTCCCATTGGGAGCGTATTCAAAAACCATCATCCTCGTAAATGGTTCCTCTTCCTCGCAGTATCCGAGAAGATTGATGAAATTCTTATGATTTACTTTTGACAGAGTGCCAACCTACAAGCATCATCAGAAGAAAAAGTCATTTGATCAGTTTAACTGCAAAGGCAAATCGTACTCCCAAGTTCTCAACCGCGCTTCTAATTACCATATTTCTGAACTGCACTTCCAAATTCTTTGACCAATCCTTCGATGATTTTACTGCAACAGATGCCACGGCAATTTCCACACCGCTAGACAAAGTTCCTTTATAAATTGTGCCAATGGAGGAAGAGCCAACCACATTGCTGAAATCTTCACATGCTGCTTCAACCTCTGCTCTCTTCAGCTTTGGTAAACCTGGAATGCAGGTACAAATCTTTAGTTAACAACACTGAAACTAGCTCTAGCCAGGAGAAAACCATTGCACATACATAAAGCGGGGTGGAGTAGCTATAGGGATAAAATTTACAGATGAAAAACAATCAAGATCTGCCATCTTTTCAACTTAGAAGGAGCTTCCTGACAGTAAAATCCACATATTAAGGCAAAAGAAGGATGTCCTCGAGTGCTGGTAACTTAAGGTAACTTGCTCCAAGACCCCTTTGCTTGGGTTTGATTTCACAAACCCATTATTTCAGCTTGGCTCTTGTTTCTTTAACAATGGTGGAACGATGAACAATGGACTATATGGTGAGGTAGCTCACATTATCTATTGCTACTTTTCATCTTTAATTTATATTATTATGGGAGAAAATCTACATGTCACCTAAAAGTTCCACACGGGATTATAGAGTTTATCAATGCTCACTCTGCAAATCGTAGCAACTGAATATTATGAAAGGGCAAGATGTCCAGGCATTTCCATGAAAGGGGTTTCAGACCAATATCCCTTGACATTCAGTACAGTAAGCTAGAGGACTCTAAACAACACGAATAGAGCAGTAACATCACTCACAGCTACGACAATAGAAGAGACTCAAAAATACTTTGTAATCCGCAATGATAATTTAATTAAAGGTGAACCCAGACCATGACACTTTTGGCCCAAGTAAAGTCCTTTGAGGAGCTTATACCTTTGGGTTACCTGTGCTAAAACAACAGATTAAAGAAATTAAAGACTATTATTCTAGGCCATCTAAGTATAATCATTTCGAAGAACACAAGTGACAAACTGGGTTCGTCATCAAGCCCTAGAACATTTGAATACTTATGACTAAAAACTCGGTTCATCATTGAGCCCTAGGACAATTGATTACTTACACTAAAGAGCAAGCTAGGGATAATAAGACTCATCTACTAAATTGGTCCACCAAGTGATGTGGTACTTTGTAGGTGGTTATTTAAGTTAGTGGGCCATTTGAACATCCAACAGGTATCTGTTGGATCATTTAGTAAATTTATTTAGTAATTGAGTCTTAACAAGTCTAGCATTATTCAACAATAAAAGTAATCCCTGCACATCTCCAGCGTGCTCAGTATTCTCATATGCAAAGTGACAGTGAAAACAATCCATAGTTACCGGTAACAAATGCCTTCTGCAGCTGTCCGCTTAAACCTGTGGCCCAAGGTTTGACAGTGGCCACCTTATTGCTTCTGTATAGATACACGCCGAGGATTGTAATCAAAATAAGAAACGAGCCTCCAACCGCTCCACCTATGATTGCTGGAGTGTTTCTTACATTGGGTGCTAAAGATGCAGGTGAGTTTGAGGCTGAGGCTGGGGCTGGGGCTGAGGGTGTGCTGGGGGCAGGGGCTGGGGTTGAGGGTGTGCTGGGGGCAGGGGCTGGGGTTGAGGGTGTGCTGTGGGCAGGGGCTGGGGCTGGGGCTGGGGCTGAGGCTGGGGCTGGGGCTCTGGGGGCTGGGGCTCTGGCTGGATGATCCTGAGCAGCAAGAACTCTGCGATGAATGACATTGCTCGTTTGTTCCACTTTCCTGCCAAAAGCACAAAGCCTTTATGATCAAACTTATGGAAGCGCAGTCTATATATTCCTCTCAGCCTCGGCATTTTTACATGAACCACCAAAAGTTTCATATAATACAGAAGAAGTATTTTTTTCCATTATCTATCAATAAAAGCAATGAGATTTTAAATAGTCCTCTTTCCTTATGGATCTCTCAATTGTCGAGCCGCTTCCAAAATATAGTTGAATATCAGGAGAATCTTACTACATTTTCCCTCCCGCAACACAGGGAGTAGAGGAATTCTCAAAAAAGCTAAACCTTTTCATCCTTCGGAAGAAATTGCTTTTGACATTGGAAAGGCTTTGCTATGACACATTCACGTGGCTGGTCCAATTAAAATCTTTTATTTTGCAAAGTGTAATGAGATTAAGATTGACATATACTAGATATCCTCTAATTTTGACGCTACTCTCGCCTCACAAATAAACCTGAAATTGAGCTCAATTTTATACCAAGAAACTAAATTTTCAACTACGTACCATGCATTGCATCTCATTTTGCAAGCTAATTTGTTTGCAGCAATTGACAGATGGTTCTCATCTACTTGAGATTCAGACGCTAATGTGAGCTCTTGGATTTCAGGAGAGGATGCAGTTAGAAGCTCATTGTTGTCCACAAGGCTGCAAGCCAAACGGGAAATTAAGCTTTTGTGACTTCATTAGCAAAACAAAAGTTTGTACTTATTAGCAAAAAAAAAAAACAGAACATACAGGATTGCTAGTGAAAAATTATTTCCAAGCTTATATGGTAATGGCCCACTGAAGTTATTGTATCCCAAATCCAACACCTCCAGCTCCTTTAACTCACCAATTTCTTCTGGAATGACTCCAGAGAAAATGTTGTTACGCAGAATACTGCAATAGAATTAGAGAGAAGACATCACTTAAGACTAAAGAGAGATGAATGCAGGAAAACCCATAGAGGGATCAAAAATGATGATCATAAACTACCTCGTTACATGACTTTAACTTACATGGCTCTAATGTGAACCAGGTTTCCAATCTCAGGTGCCAGAGTTCCTCCGAGACAAAGATCTCTTAAGTTCCTACAAGTTTTATTGCATTGATAATCAGAAATGACAGGCATGTATACCAGTTCCAAACCTTTCAAAGCGTCACATAATTAAATGTAACAACAAAGAGAGTATTCTGACCAAAAAAAAAAAAAAAACAAAGAGAGTGTTACTCCAAAACGCAAAAGGGAACCAAGTAATCATCTGATCAAAGATAGATCATAGGGGATTACTTGAGTATTCTCATTAATGTAGTAAGCGGTGGAAACACATAAAACCTCTCCGAAAACGGATAGCTTGATTTTCCAAGACAGAGACTAAAGCAATATACATATGCCTTCATGCTTAAAGCAAAGTCAACCAAGTGAAAACCTCGTTCTTCAACACTAACTCGAGTTACAACAATTCTTGCAACTTAATGTCACGCTTAGGTTGATCAAGCTAGCCAACACGGATGCCACAAACTAATCGCTTGGCATAGCCATGATATATATCGATTGTGCTGCGTATTGGGCAAGTTCATGATGAATGATGGTAACAACATAGACTCCATAAGCAATTCTGAGAACAAGACTGGCATCCATCATTAACAGTATAATCCGGCATAGATACTTCACCCACAAACTTGGAAGATCTTTTTATTGGAGGTAGATCGGACCAGAACACGTGATAAAACCGAAAAGAACCGAGCAGCGACCTCTCTATAATCACATGGTGATCAAGAGTCAACGAGCACAATCAACGAACGTCAATGATCAAAGTAATTCCAACTGTCCCGAGTAAAGAAAAAATTCGAGCCCCGCAAAACCACATAGCCAAATGAAGATCTTCAGTCGAGAGAAGATGACTTACAAAGCCACAACTTTTCCATCGGAACACTCAACGCCAAACCACGAGCACGGATCAATCTCTCCATCATCTTCCTTCCAATTTCTCAAACTTCCAAAAGGGTCACTGACTACCTTATCCCTTACCCTCAACAGAGCCAAGCCTGCGAAAACAGCAAACCAGACAAGAACACTTTCCCTCACTTTCTTGACCAACAAACAACAGAACGACAAGGGTGGACCTGAATCTATCACCATGCAAGGTCGAAGCACATACCTTCTTCGTTTAAGCACCGGCAGATACCGAGATCTTGGCAAAACACGAAAACCATCAACAAGAATCCCACTCCTACACGATCCTTCAAGCGGTTCGCTTGCCGACCGTGCTTCATCCTCTCCCGCTTCAAACCAAGTGGACCTCAATCATGAACGAACTGAATAGGGGTTGGAGTATGCAGCTCAAAAAGCAGGAATTTGCAGGAAAAAAATAAACTTTCGAAAGGAATTGGGTAAAGCTGATAAGAAGAAGGAGGAGGAGAAGGAACAGAAGAAGAAGTCAGAGGGGAAAAATAATACAAAGAAGAAGCCGGTGTTCGCGTGCTTGTAGACTATTTTAGACTGAGATGCGTTTGAAAACGCGTACACTTGAATACTTGCATTTGTTACTACGACAGGCTTCATTTTTTTCCATTTTCCTTTTATGATATCTCTCTCGGATGTTCGTAGCAGATGCATCTGCATTACATGAAAAGTACTTCCTACGTAGGTTTGGACTTGATCGGGTCTTAAAAGGCAACACCAGGAAGGTGAAGAGTTCAAAAGAGATAGAGAAGTCTTATTTTTACCCTCTTGGGCCCCGGTAAGAATTTCCTTTTCGCGATAATGCGCTTTACCCCGTTACCACCTGACACGTTAATCGTTATTAATCCCGACCCGATAACTTCGATCTTATCGGCGAGATGTATGGAGTTCAGAAATGACCAAAATCTAAATGATCTCGGCACGATGAGCCGGATCCTAACCAGCAACAGGTATCGATACGAAAGTCTCGAGATACGGCCGTTTTGAGCGTTCGTCACTCGCGATTTCTAGTAATTACCCCTTGTTTTTTTATTTATCGGTTCGAACGCAAAGCGGGTTTCCGACTTATAGTCTACGGATATTTCCAAGAATATGATGTTTTTTGGTCCCGTCCAAAAGAGAGGTGAGGGGGGGGGGCGCGATGCCGGTGACATAATAAATAATTCCTCGTTGTTTCTTTTGCGACAATGACAAGCCGGTCGAATTAATGAGCGAGGACTAATGTCCTTGCATTTTTTTGCCAGGGACTTCACCGTTAGGTTCCCATCCGGCGCCGGCCACATCTTTTTGAACGGCACCCAGTCTCTCTCTCTCTCTCTCTCTCTCTATCTCTATCTCTAGCATTTTTATTTACTGGGGAAATTATTTTATTCATTTATTCATTTATTATTACCAAATTAATTCGACCATTCCAATCCCCAGCATTTAAGAATAGGGAGAGGGGTGGGGGGAGTTTCCTGGAAATTCACGGGAATGGAAAAGGACGACCATTCCAATCCCCCAGCATTTAAGAAACGGTCCGCGAGATTTTTGTTGAAATTATCAAAAAATTGGGGCGATGCTTTTTCGGGGTTACGTTTGCGCGTCGTTTTCTGTAAGTTCGGCCCCCTCCGAACATTTGAATGAGACGTCGTACTATCAGAGCACTCCCGTCGTTGGCGCGGGACCATTCCCTTCGCTCAAATTTTCATCTTAGACGGTAGAGAGCTAACCTTACCAACGTTCCCATCAATAGCATCTGCCTATGTATTTAGTCTATGTGTGTGTAATGACTTGATCCGATTTGCATGAATCGAACCCCTTTGAAAGGATTGCTCGAGATGATGATTGTTTGCAGATGGGTCTTGCCGGTCAATTACTTCGCGAGTCCGGTCATGCTCGATGCGGCGGCTTTTGTAGGTTCGAGAGGTAGCTTTTCGCCGTGTATCGCTGTGTCCCAGGCGAAATCCGAGAGGTAGCTCCCATGACGTAGCACACTATCCCTCGTGGCGCTTTTGACTCGTGCGCTGCTTCGATGTCAATCGTAATGACTCAACCTGTACACGTGGAATAAACTCCTATAAAGGGTGAACTGATGTGGCAACCCTATGAGGATGGGTTTTGCTTACGAATCACTTAATATATGTTCTCTATCATTTGATGTGAAACTGTGATGTTTCTATACACACGACGTAGTTTTTTAAAACAGTCTCTCTCACGTTGTCACCGTCAACTTCACAATATTCCTAGAAATGGGGTATATCGAGATGTGTATTTACCACGAGAAATGGGCTTTGTATTCCAAATCCGAGACCTTTTCGTTCCTCGGCAAGCCAAACAAATAATTCAATCCTATACCATGGAGGGTTAAATTGGGTTTAGACTCCGTTTATTTCGCGAAAAATTAATGATTTAAAAAATATCTCTCTAAAAATAATTACTTAAATCACTCGAAATAATTAATCTAGCGATAACGATGGCTCTTCCCTCTTCGACGGCCACGCCACAACCGCATCTCCTACCCCCTTTCATGCACGCATGGGCTCAATTTCACAAATCCATTCACATTTCAAACAAAATCTAAAATCAACAAAAGGAATTTTGCAAAGTTGCTTTGCATAATTAAGGGTAATTTCAGTTTCTTATTTCGCGGGCAAACAATAAAAAAAATAAAAAAGAGAGGAGGGCATCATGAGCTGGCGCTCGATAATTCTCAATTCAAGCAAATGAAACCACGTGCGATGTCGTGCGAGTTGGACCTCTTCAAACTTCCCCCACATTGCGTATGAACAGCTCCTATCTTGACGTCAACACATACCCGATTTCAACAAGAGCACGTCCCGTTACAATAATTAAATCTTATACCACGTAATCATCTAACAGTTTAAATTTTTAGAACCGTTGATAGTGATTTAATGAAATTTCACACCTCCAAGATCGTGCAACGCCAGCTATATCTGGTGCAACGGATGAGTCCTGTGCCGATTATTTTTATATGAACGTAAACTTTCATCGATAACCCTAGTCAATACGCCAAGAACTTGCTCTTATCTCTCGAACTGTGTGCTTGCATTTTTTCTGGCACTAGTCACCAACTTCTTGCACCCGGTAGCGCACTGGTAAGAGACAAAGACCGAGCAACCGATGCTGAAAGATCGGCCACCATCGTGAGGACACTTTGCGGTTATTGGGTCGCTCGAATTATGACTTCGTGCGCCCGACTTTATTTACCATCTTTACTAATTAGTTTTCTGATAAATAGAGTTACGTGTGATGTTAAGGACTCTCTAAACTTGAGGTGGGGGAATTGGTGAAGAGGCTTAATTACGTTTGTCGAATGCTTCTTTAATTTGCAATTGTACATGGTAATTAGGTACGATGGCTATACGGGATATCTATCGAGAAACCATATTGGCAAACTCCGTCGGCCCTTTCAGAAAGATGAAAATTGGGAAAGAATAAAAAAAAATTTAGAAATTTTAAAAAATATTTATGAAAATCGTCTACCTCAATAGTTTCCATCCAAAATTGACTAGGAGGACTACGTCGGGAAGTCGTCGAAAGGTTTACAACTAAATTAGCTAACGTGAAAAGTTTATGATTGAATTATCCGCTATACAATAATGGGTTGATACCATGAAAAATCCCAAACTGGTACACTTGTAATAAATTTATTACAAACTAATTTTTTGAATACAAAAAATTCCAAACTGGTACACCCATGACAAATTTACTTTCCGTCAATTTCTATTAAATTTTATCATCAAATTGCTAAGTCGGATGACACTTAACAATTGACGGGTGTACCATTTTGGGATTTTCATGGGTTTACCAATTTGTGATTTTTCGTAATATTAATCCAATTTTACGGAGGGTAAATTTATCACAAGTATATCGGTCTGGGATTTTTGGTGGTCAAAAAATTATTTAATGGTAAATTTATCACAAGTGTACTAATTTGAAGTTTTTTGTGGTCAAAAAATTAGTTCGGAGTAAATATGTCACAAATATACTAATTTAAGATTTTTCATAATATTAAATTTACAATAAATTCAAAACTTTTTAGACAATTTCCTCCTCGTCATCTACAACAACTTTTTGGCCAAACAGTAAAGGAGATTGAGTGGAAGAAAATTAAGGGAAGAGAGATACGAAAGACGGTGACATGCAAGAAGGAAAACATTATTGCATGAGGGAAAAGTCGGACCCACGAAAGGGACACGAAAGGGAAGAATGTCGCGACAATGTTAATGCAAATGGCTTCTTTTATCAAGTCCTTTGTGGCCCGCCCTTTGCCTCCCCCCGCCAAAGGAATCGAGCCCAGAAGACTCGGTCCGAGGCTCGTGTGATTTGACTCCCACGTCCACATTGGAGAAATGCAACGAAGAAGATGGTAGGAAACAGGCAGATCCTAACCTCAAATTAATGGCAATTAGAAAACAGAAATCTAAGCAATTCGCGGGGGCGACCGAATGCTCGATTCGGGACGATGCAAATTTGATGCGCGACTCGTGGTACCTCTTACTTAGAATAACTTCGAAAGTCTCATTCACCGTTTTGTATGCGATACTTCGTGCGGTGCATCGGGACGAGACATTTTGTGTGCGTTCGTGGTCGAATCGAAGACTTAGATACTCTATATTTAATAATAATAAAAAAAAAAGTGGGTCGAGGAAGATGTTGTAAAAATTTCAATCCTCATCCTTTTCTCAAATCGTCCTACTTCATATTTGGAACAAAAGGTACAGTACGAGGTATTGAGAATAATAATGTAATTTAGTTATCTATTTCTCCAAGCTACAAATCCCCCATAAAATAAGATTTTCTAGCCAGCCAGCATATATCTAGAAGGGAAAAAAAAAACTTTAATTCTTTTTTTAATGATGGGATTGCGGCCGCTATGAATTTTCCCCCTTTGATTTCCTTTTAACAAGTTCAACCCTTTCTCCTGACAATTCATGAACTTTTCCATTTTTTTTCAACCAAAAAAAAACCGAGTTTGAACAACAGCCATCGAGAGACATTTTCTCTGGCTCTAGAACTACTTCCTCCTCTTCGTCAACAACCCTATCCTTTAGAGAAAAAAGGTATCATGAACACGCGCAATTTCCCATTTAACCGTAGGAAGCGAAAGTTGATCGGACCTTATTAACGAGCGTTTCGAGACACTTGTTAATTACGTCCGTTAAAGAGATATTTTCATTTTCAAGGTACGAAATAGATGACGCATTGAAGATTACAAAAAATTTCTCCGATGAAGTGCTCAACGAACGTTTCGGGACTGTTTTTGACAAGACCTGAGCAACGATTTTTCGCTGATTTTTGATCCGTGACAAAAATGCTCAGCCTGGGCCATACAGTATCGTCGAACCGCCCGACGACTCCTGGAAGCGGAAGTTACTCTTTTAGCCCCCTCGGGGAAACCTTCCAGGGGCAGGTGGTAAGGAGTCAACGGTAAAGTCAGGGGTAGATAAAGCCGAGACAAGGACCAATCGTGCAAGTGGAAATTGGGGAAAAAAAAAAGCAAAAGGAAGAAAATGACAACCCCTTCTTTTTTTTGAATTTTTTAAATTTTTAAATTTTTTTGGGGGGTCCGAAAAGGACAACCTTTTTGACAAATCAAAAAGTTAGTTTTGGGCGCTGTACCACGTGGACGAAACACGTAAATAGAAAAACGAAAGGAAAAAAACGAAAGAGGCGTGGCCCCCAGTCGCCAGTCGCACCTGTCGGGATCGAGACGTCGTCCCAATCTTGACGCGGTCAGCGTTTTTATTCTTTGACCCCCTTTTTTTTTTATTTCGAGATATGCAATTTGCAAAATTCAAGTCAATGCTGGGGTAGAAACATTAGGGGACCTAATTATTTATATAATTAAAAAAAAAAAAAAAGTGACCCAAGCAATCGATCCCTGTCATCTCACGTCTAATCGAAATATACAACCAGCAACCTTTGAAGACTAAGGCTGTAACACCCAGGATCAACGGATAATTCAATAAACAAAAGTCCCTAATTTTCTTTAATTTTTGTTTGTCAAAATCGGCGCTGGCTTCTGATCTTTCTTCAATTGGGGCCGGTTCTTTGCACATGTTGCAGAGATTCCGCATTGGCGACACCTGGTGTCAGTTTGAGTAGGGATGGAAGATGCGTGTGTTCCGCAGCCTTCATGCTCTCTTTTCGCATGCGTGTTCCACGGCTTTTCATTAGGGTGTATGCTTGAACCGGACCTCGAGCCCAATCGAATATGACCCGAGACCAAAATCCGGTCCGGTCCGGTTTGGATATTTTTCGGTTCGGATGAGAAAGCCAGAGATTAGGGTTTCTCGGGGCGAGAAAGAGTGCGCGGTTTTTTTCTGAGAATTTCGGTTATGTTCCGTTAAATCGAGCCGAAATAACCTGAACCAGGAAAAAGAACGGTTATTTTTTTATTATTGAAATTAAAAAACGCACGAAATTTCGGTCTTGTTCTGATTTCGGTTCGGTTTTTGACGCCCCTAGGTGGGTGTCCGAGGCTCCCTCCCGTGCAAGACACAAGAGGGACCTCAAGGCGAGTTATCACAATCTCAGCGTACCATACGGCGCGACATTTATGGAGTTACTTGAACGTGAGATTCGATACCGTTCGAGGATTTTTGCCACGGAATAATAGAACCGGAAAAATTACAAGTCAATGGAGGTCCACGAGACCACCCATTCCGAGCCCCTTCTTCACGGTGTAAATGCTAGCCACTTCGTCTCTGACGTTCCCTTTTTTTTGGTCCTTTTGTCTGATATTTCGCGAGTCGTTCTCGCTCCGTAGTCGCTCTCGCTCCTCTGTTTTCTCTGCTCGAATTAAAAGGGAAAACGAAGGAATTCGAATCATTATTAGGACATATAAGATAAGAAAACGGAAGCATTCCCTAGTAATAGCATTTACGCACGATAATGAAAGGTGTAGTGTTGCGATAGATATCGTTTCGTGTATTATTTCGGGTCTCCATCCTTTCGATTTTCAAAGCATCGGTACACACGGTTTACAAGAACAATTAGAGTGCTAGAGATTGTGAACGTTTGCTAATGAGTTACTGGACACTTGTTAACAAAATTTTAATTTTGAATAGGGAGATTCCACTGATTAATAAATGGAAGGACAAAAAACAGAACGTCTTCCATTTGGGCTTCGTTATTGGGCCAGGATCTAGGGCCATGGATTTCTAAATGGGTCGGGTTTCGTCGTCCTCTGGGTTTCTAGTCAAGAGCCCAAAAGGGGGAAAAGGGTGGAATTCATTAGATGTCTTTGCTTTTTCTTTTTCCCTTTTGGATGAGTAAAAGGGTGGAATGCAGTGTTCTTAGTAGAGCTGGGCATAATTTTGTTCAAACCGCCGAACCGAATCGAACCGAACTGAAATTCTTAGTTCTGTTTAGTTTTGGAGGAGTGATTTCAAAAATCCGATTCGTAAAAAACCAAACCGGATTGAAATTGGGCAGTTCGGTTCGGTTTGGCTTTCTTCCAAACCGATCAAATGCCAAACCAAATTGTTTTTTTTATTTCGATTTTATAAGTATAATATTCATATTAATAGTATGAGAGAGATAAGAGTAGCTGAGAAATTCTTTTTTTTTTTAAAAATTCAGAGAGGGGAAGAAGAAAACTCAAAGAAAGAGACGTATAAAACGAAAGTCGAATCTAGTAAGGGGGAGAAAACATGAACATTCATTTTCGCAATTCTAAAAGATGTAGTACTTCAACTCTCTCGCCTACTTCATTTTTATTTACTTATTTATTATTATTATTTTTACCTTTCTTTTTTATTCATTTCCATCATTCCTTAATATATATTTTATCAAAGGGATAAGTGCATTGAAAGTTTTAAAACTTATCATGAAAATGCAATTAATTCCCAAAACTTTCAAAAAATGCAATTAAGTCCAAAAACTTTTAAAAAGTGCAATTAAATCCTAAAACTTATATAATTGATCTAATGAAGTCATTCAATTGATGGCACTTTTTGAAAGTTTTAAGACTCAATTGCACTTTCGTCACAATTTTTAGGACTCGATTGCACTTTTTGAAAGTTTTATGACTCGATTGCACTTTTGTGACAAGTTATAAGACTTGATTGCACTTTTTAAAAGTTTTAAAACTCAATTGCACATTCATGACAAGTTATATGATCTCTGGTAAACTTATCCCTTTATTAAATAATAAGCTATACTAATATGCGTAAGATACCGATATACCTAATATTTGAAATAAATACAAATAATATATATAATACACATTACAGAGTTGAAAAAAATTTAAATATATAAATAAAAATATGAATAAATAAAAATAAAAACCGATGTTATTATAACTTTTCTTTTTTTATTAGTGTAACGACTTGGTTTGACGGGGGCAGGGAGTGGTCGTTGGGGCCAGAGAGTTTGGATAAGGACTAGCTCCTAGCAGACTTCTAAGATAGCAAATGGAGCAAGAATGAATTGAATTATGCGCTAAATACGGGGAGAGTGATTATGAGATATGAGTGTGTGTGTGTGTGTGTGAAAATTGGAATTAACTCATAGAAGCGCATTTTGACGTAATGGCAACGCTCCAAAGTTAAGCGTACTCAGGTAGGAGCATTCATAGAATGGGTAATCTCCTAGGAAGGCTCCCACCTATACGGCAAAGGACAAAACTGTGAGGCTCGGTATGAGACGGGTCAAAGCGAATAATACCACAATGAATTTATCCATGGATGGCACAATGTGGTAATGAGAGCGGGACCCCCTCCAACAAGTGTATGGTTTGTATGCCAAAAGACAAAACCGTGAGGCTTAGTGTGGGATGAGACAAAGCAGACATTATCTTAATGAGTTAAATCCAAGAATGTCACAGTATGGTATCATAGCGGGATCTCCTCCAGTAGGTGTGTGGTCCTATATGAACCACGTGAAAATTGGTGGACTTGTAACGACCTGATCTGACGAAAGTAGGGAGTCGTCGCCGGACCAGAGGGCACTCTTAGCAGGCTTCTTGAATAGCGAAAGGGGCAGGAATGAACTGAACGACGCACCGAACATAAGAGAGGGATTCTAAGATATATATATATGAAAACTAAAATTAACTCATAGAGGCGTCTTTTGATTAACGGCAATACTTAGCTTTATAACTCCAAAGTTAAGCGTGCTCAGGTGGGAGCACTCCAACCAAAAGACAAAAATCATGAGACTTGGTCTAGAACGGATCAAAGCGGACAATACCTCGAGTGAATTAATCTATAGATGCTATTATTATTATTCAAAATTATTTATTTTTAATAATTATTGTAATTTATCAATTTAAAAGTTTGTTATTTGCAAAAAATAATTATTATACCGTGGATATAAGAAATCACGTTCACCTTTATCCTACCTCTCCAACCAAACATGGGATATGATAAAGTTTTATCCTATCCCGACTTCTATCCTGGCTATCAAACGTATCATTTATGCTTATGGTTAATTAGGTTTCAGTTTAATTTCAAACTCCTGTCTAGTTCAATTTGGTTTCATATTTTTTCAATCCATGCTATTTTAGTTCGATTATGTGTTTCATACAAATTGAATTGAACTTAATGGTGCTCACCCCTAATTCTTCGTAAGAGAGTACGCTATTTTTCTTTTCTTTTTCCAAAACGAAAAATAGCAACAAAAGGATACACCTATTAATTGGAGGCCATCAAAGCTCGTTGGTAAAGAGTTCCACATGGAGAAACAATTATCCGGTGCTAAAGTAGAAACTAATCTGAATGCTATCCGAAGTTTACTGTCCATTCAAGAATAGCCCATTTTAAGCGAACGAAAGAGGTTCCAGTCCGGCCTATTTTGGTATCACCTCGTTTCCTGATACTAGTTTCCTTATTTTAAGGAACACATATGGAAGTAATTTTATGTATCGGCCAATACCAAACCTCGAAGTTTCCAATTCGATTCGATTGTGATGGTTGCCTGTTGCTTGGCAACCATCGTCGATGACTGGTCGATGGAGTCAAACCAAATCAAAGGGTCGAAAAATCGTTTTTGGTCCGATTGAACTCGGGGAATCGATGGGTTCCAGAATGCACTGTTTCAATTGTTCATAAACTTGAACCAACAACCATTTGTAACATAAGCTCCTAGAGGATGTACAAATGAAAAGGGATAAATTGGAGAGCCCGCAGAGAATACAGCTTAAAAATTCGACCATTACCTTTCTCGTCTCTTCTAATAACAGGAACCATGGGTCACTCAATTTTGACTCACCACGTATAATATAATCTGGGCTAATCCAATCTCCTAGTTCCAGCTCCATTAGCGATTTCAGGTGTTACGGACTGATCAGTAAGAGGAGCAAGAGGAGCAAGAGGGGCATCTGATGAGGCCGTTGACGTTGCAGGCCTTGCAGCTCTTGAACCCGTGCTTGTCCGAGTAGATCTTGCAGCTCCCGCTGCACCTCTCGCACACCGCGTACCTCAGCCCTCCGCAAGGGTCGCACGCGCCGGGCCCCGCCTCGGGCGACGCGCGGCCGGCGACCAGCGACCTCAGCTCGCCGCTCTCGTGCAGCTTCCGGACCTCCTCGGCGCCGCCCACGAGCCGCCCGCCGACGAGGACGCAGGGGAGGGACAGCCTCCCGCGGCCCAGGATGCCCTGCAGCTCCGCCACGTACCTGGAGTCCATCGACAGGTCGCGCTCGTCCACGGGGACGCGGAGCCCGCGGAGGATCGACAGGACGGCGCGGCAGTCCTCGAAGGTCTTGCGGACCACGCGGAGGCTTGTGAAGTAGACAACGACGGCGGGCTTCTCCTCGTCGGAGGAGCCGGGGGGGTGCTTGGACTTGAGGGACGAGGCGGAGGAGCGACGGTGGTGGTGGAGGGTGGGTGGCGATGGCGGTGCCGCATTGCGGTGGGCCCAGCTGGAGATCCGGACCCGGTGGAAAATGGAGGGGGTCCTTGGGGAGTCGGGTTCGGGCTCGGACTCTTCGGTGCAGAGGTTCTGGATGTCCTTGAAGGACGAGCAGGAGAAGCTCCTTGATCTCGGTGCGGTTTTGATCCTCCTGAGTGGCCACATGACAGGGAAAGGAGAGGCTTTTGGGGAAATGAGGTTAAGGTTGAATTTGATGGGTGGAGAGAAGAAGGGAAAATAAGCCTAGGAAAAGAGGGAAGGGAAGAAAGAGGCAACAAAAGATGGCAAGGGTGGGAGGGAGAGTCACAGTGAGAAGGTAAGGTTGGGCTTTGCTGTCAATGATGATGATAGTAAATGCTTTTTTTTTTTTGCTAAATGATGATAGTAAATGCTTAGTATCTGCCTTAGGCGCTAATTATTTGGGCATGAAGCAATTGTGGGTCCACGTCATTTGGTGATATCCTCTGTCAAAGTGTCAATTCATTTACTTTCCCACAGTGATGATGATTATCGATTCTTTCCTTCTTCTGACAAATTCCTTTGACCGGGGTCGACCCTGTTCTGCTACTTGAAGTTGTTAGCGCTTCGGGATTTTGCCATCCCGTTCTGAACGCAGAACGAGCATCTGTCGGAGAATGCTTCCGTTTCGATTTCTTTATGCAACTGAAAACGATGACAATGTGGGTCGAAGCACAGATATTCGTGGGGGTCCGAGATTGGTTAATCCTATTCAGACGGTTTCCACTCTTTTCTGCCTTTACTGCGGCGAGGTCGCATTGAAGGAAATAGTCGATCTTAGTGCCTTTTTACATATTTGGAGTTAATGACCTAATTAAAATCATGACGTGTCAAGTAATAAGTCGGAGCTATACAAGAACTCCGAGAAAAGACCAGGATTAAATTCAGACAGGAAATAGATATCACCCCGAGAAAGAGTACCTCAGTCTAAGAGTTGCCTAGTGTCAACAGAATAGGCTGTCGTCCCGAAGCAAAATTTGGAAGGACATGTTTGGGTCCGCCTTGTTTTAATCTGTAGGAAAGAGAGAAGTTTTCTCAGTAAAGCTCTAGCATCACGTAAAGGCAGAAGAGCTAGAGAAATTTAGAGAGTTCTCACGTGGGAAATGCGGACCGTAAGCGGAGTCACATTTTTGCTCCTCGAGAAATGAGTATGTCTCCATAAGGCACCCTTTGTTCAACTCTGAGCATATCGCGAGTCGCAAGAACTGCACGAACAGATCAGCTGATTAATATTGGTTTTGCGAGTTGAAATCAGCGGTAAGCCAATGCAGTGTGAGTAGTTCATTGACCGTAAGCGATTGGAGCATTGCATGGATAAGTACCGCAAGTCTGATAGAAGAGCGTAGCTGCTCCTCTTCGGCTCATCCCAGTGGCGAGGTGGTTCAGAGATTCTTCCTTGGGGGCCCCAGGAGTCTCGAAATGCTCTTTCATCTGGCTGAAGCCACCAAGACAGGTACGGTGGGCTTCAATTATGCCAAGGAAATGTAAATTTTTAAGCAGATAGAATAAGAAGATTTTGCGACATACGTGCGGATGGTATCTGTAAGCTTGTCAACAGGAGGACTGCTGATTGGGCGTTGGGTTTGTGTTGGTCCAGTTTCCACCAGTAGTTCTGCAGGAGACACTCAATAAAGAGACCGTTTAGGGAATAAAGAAGCTCGCCCACTTGCCGTGCGTCTCTAAGTAATCGACAATTTGACATGACTATGCATTTTCTCTTTGATATCAATGAGATACCTACCTTGCTCAGGTGTTTGGCCGTCTTCAGGCAGCCTTGATAACTTGAAGTTGGGATCCACGTTTAACCATGAATTTTCCTCAGCTACAGGTTCGAGGCCACTATTGCTGTTTCTAGATGAAGATAAGGGTCGCTTCTTGCTGGATCTGTTAGATACAGTGATGTCAATCCATATGATCAATGATTTGTTTGATGAACAAGACAAGCTAATAAGATGCAAGATAAAACCAGCTAGTTCCACGATGGTTTTAATTGGCTCTCATGAGAAAATCTGATTCCTGCCTGTATATCTTTGTTCACTATCCAAAGCACTCTTAGGAAAGAAGCATATTCTCACTAACCGTCCAGAGTTGACTTCTGCATTGTGCGCTATGAAGTTGTGTCCAGAAGCTGAGCTTGGAATGGATCTTACATCATCCCCTGTAATACCATATACGAAGAGATTTTTGTTAGTTCTCTGCCGTATTATGTGATATATCCCAATACGTAAGTATTACCTGAATTTCCTGGAGTTACCATTGGGTCTGGATCTGCTACCGCTGTCTTATTGTGGATGAGATTGTTTCTTAAACCTTCCATGAAAATTTCCGGGGGCATTTCATGATTTTCAAAATTATTCCGCAGCTTCTCTATGGAGACATCTTGTGAATGCAGGTTGACCTCCATGTGTACATCTTTGAAAGGCTTCACAATCAAATATTTCATCAGAGGGAGGCCAGACGAACACATTGCAATCAGGTACTCCAGTAAAAAGATGTGAGCCGTACCCGTGCCCCTAAATCTTGATAATATGCTCTCTCTGGGGGGGATGACGACGAGGGTTCTGGTGGCAAGGGCAGGGATGTTCTTCCTGTGGAGAATGGTTATTATTTTGAACTGAGGTTGCACAATATCAAGCACGACAAATTGTTAAAAGAGGCTTGCCAGAGGCTGACCAGAAGGTGTGTCATGGGGAGGCTGGATACTTCTCATCCACAGCTCCATAAGAGGTTGAGGATAATAGACGCGTCTATTTTCGTTAAGTAAACCACATGCTAGCACTGTCGGCGGTAGCTCCATGAGATGAGCGATCTTCATGCTGGTCATCACACTCGTACGCTGCAACCAAATGTGTCTGGGAATTATGACATCATATTGTTTTTATTGTAACTGTTGTAGGCTGAAAGCTGAAACTCCTAACAAGGATGTCCCTCCAAATTTATGGTCATCTAAGCCTCCAAACACTCAGTGGAAGGGACAGGTTAGTTCATATGAATGGCTTGACTGGGTAGGATATTTTGGCAATGTGGAACTACATCGGACTGAACAGGAGAAGCACCAACCTTTCTCTTTCTCCCTCTTTTTGAGACAATGCTTGAAGAGTTTTGCAGCCATGATTGGTATGTATTTCCAGGGATGATCGTCTGTTCATAGTCCATGGCAAAAGGTTCTGCCCTTTTAGCTTTCCTCTTGGCTTGTCCCTGTCTCTGCTTATCCTGCTTCATTCGCACCTTTATCATTATCAGTGAACTCTCTAAATTGTCTTTACCTTTATAGAAGAAAAGGTTACTTCGGTAAGTTAACTGTGACCTGATGAGGAAACTTGAGATCATCAGTTTCCTGATTAATTTGGCTTTCTGGATGTTGATTTTGAACTTCATCTGTGCCAGAAGCGTAATAGTTAATTTATGGGAGGTGTTTTCACTAACAATTCAATTCTTAAATTTCCAAAAGAAATCCAAGTAGATCTATGTGCATCTTAATATATCTGTCTCTAACCCAGAAGGCCATCTGCAATGCATACTCAGTGCTTTATCAGAACGTGACTTCAGAAATAAAAGGAACCGAACTATGAATCCATTCGTATTGCTGTGTCAAATGCTTAAGGATAATAACATAGAGTGCTACTCATATGATCATATCGTGAAGCTATTAGCCACTTAATAATTCAGAGGAATATGCTACTTCAATGATCGCTATAGGTGGATGGGCAATAATGTGATACACCCCCAAAGGATCTCTGTCAAGTCAAGTATCTTTCACATAGATCTGAATTTGGTTCTCGGGTAGTAGAAACCAAATAATTCCTGAGCAGTTCTAGCTTGATGTACACTTTCCTCCATTTAGTAAACAGAAAATGAAGGAATGGTGCTGCAAACCTCTCTGAGCATCGTCTGGCAATGGTGGTGAGGGTACGAGAGTACTTGGTATGTGTGCATCCTCTCCTGAAGCAAAATTGGCCTGAGTCTCGTCCTCCCCCTCTATATCAAACCTGTCAGACCATTCAACAAGATACGCGGTATTGCAAATGGTCAAAATCTAAGATTAATGTGCATAGCATACGTTAAGAAAAGGCACAACTAGATGCTTGTCATAGTATGTTAAGCAAACGAGATATTCCATCACAAATACAATGTAACGTTTAGAAAATGAGATTCCATCTCAAGTGCAATATAGCCTTTCTCTTTGAAGTAGACCAAAGAAAGACGTAGATTGAATATTAGAGTTCTCATCCTTTGAGCTTAGAGTGCACGTATTACCTTTCAAAGTGATTAAATAGTTCTCTATCAGTCTGATAAGGATCAAAATGATCGAATAAGGTTATATTTGCTGCATCAGCTGTGAAAATAAAGCACTGATGATGTTAATCTAAAGGATACATATAAAAGAGGAAAAGCTGGACAAAAATCATGGGGTTGATGATGAACCTTGATGAAAGTTCTGATTTTGGTCCTCATTCTTTTCATTGTCATTCATGCAGGTCTCGTCAACATTGTCTAGTCGCTGCAAAACCGAAAATTAAGCAGAAGAGCCATGGCCATGAGAAATTGGGCATATTCAACATTCCACAAAAAGGTTGTGCACTTGGCTCGTGAAAAATACCCAAGGTTGCTAGGTAACTTCGACAATTTGTCATTAGCTAGGTGTTCCTCTAGCTGAATCCTCGCTTTATTTCAAATATGAGACTCAAAACACTGTCAAACTCAGGCACCTAACAGCTAAACCTACTTCTTACAAAGATCATCATCCAAACTTTAGACAGACTTAAACATAGAGTGAAGTATTCAAGGTATGGCATTCCCATTACTCAATGTACTCATCTTCCTGCTCAAGCTTTGATTGCTTTTAGTTGAGAGGGGGAAGTTCCAAATGAACTTGCTAAGCGACCAAAAGAAATTTGTGAATAGTATCTTTCATCGACATCTTGGCCATAGAAAAAAATGCCAATCCTTCAAATGCGCATGTGGTGGCAATTCTTGTGATATATCAGGCACAATTTCCTTTATTAGCACGCCGAGCACAGGGACTGCGTGAAAGACAGATGAACACCTGAAAGCAACTACTGTGACCCTGAAGCGGTGCTGGACAGGGAATGTCATAATACCCCAAACCAAAGACAGCTTTTGAGTTTTGACAATCGCAAAGTACCCCAACACATCGCCTCACTTTTCTTTTCCACGAACTGTTCTTCAAGATTATGCCTAAAAAAAGTGTGAAAATCGTGCTAGTAAAGAATATACCCATCTCTAGAATCATGGCATCAACTAGCTAGTATTTCCAAAACCGGTGACTGTTGAAGAGTCTATTTGTAAGGTGATTCACTTAGGCTCGCTATCACGCTCAAATATCAATAGGCCGCATACATCTCACTATTTTTATCCATCTCTGCTATTGCAAGAAAATCTTCCCTCAATATCCTCCCGAGTTATTGCCTTCCCTATTCTAGTTCTCCTGATGTTAACTGAAAACCAAATTTACCTGACATGATGTTTTTTATTTCAATCCGGTACTCTCCAAATCCTCTTGCAGATGATTTTGATAGTCCAACCACAAACGAACCACGGAGAGAAAAATGTAACCAGGACATTACAGAGGTGGAAATGCCAAACAATGTTCTGAGATCTTCATCAGATGAGATGGCCACAAAAAGAAAAAAAAAAAACCACCAAATCATACTTTCAGCTGCAACCATTCTACAAACAAAAGGCATCCTCAACATATTAAAATAGAATCAAAGAACATCAAATTGCGCGAATTACCATAGCAAAGTAAGCCGTGTGTTGGAAACCCATGGTGGCCGTCGCATCAGAGAAATTAAGGGGTTGCTCAATATCACCGATCTCTGTCTCCTGGTTGTCTGGCAGAGTAACAGCTTCTCTCCTACGCACATGTGAAACGCCATGAACTTCTCTCTTCCACAAATTAATTTGACCAGCTTGCCCTCCTTCCTCCCACTGTTTCTGCTTTAATCTTTTTTGGGGCTAGAAAAATCGTGCCGTCGGAAAAAAACAGCTTTCTAAAATGACAACGATTGACGCGGATTTGGACAAAATGCCGATCCTATAAACACTCTTTAGATTACACCAATGAAACGTGAAATGAACTAGTCTAGATTGAAGGGAGCTGGTCGGAGCAAAAATTACGCGGAGCAAACCTAACTCACTTGGCCTGAGTTTTTCCCTTGGGCAGGATTGTTGGATCTGGAGCAGATTTAACCTTCCAAGCCTCGTTTATCTCAACCTAATACCGCAAAAATTCATCGTCAGTCTACGAACACAAGGATAAGAAATGGAAAAAGCTTGTGAAGACGAGGTGGGTGTGGTTTTTGATCGGGCCATGTTCGTACCAGGAAACGAGTGACGTCGTCTGCAAATCATTCCCAAGAAACAGCATTACTCATTTTTCGAAATTACGAAGAAAATTCTTAGCAAAGCGGAAGAACTGGAAGCTTACCATAGAGGAGTTTCACTTTCCGCTCATAGACGATCACGACTCCACCTGAGAGAGATTACGAATCAGGCGTTCAAAATTCGACGGAACACGCAAACGGGGATGAAGAGGAAATCAGGAAACAACAGACGGAATCAAATACCCATCAGAATTCCGGAAAGTCTGAGCGCCATTGGGATCGATGGATTCAAGATTTCCTCACTGAAGAAGTAAAAAGAAGAAGAACGGACACGTCGGTGACTCGATGGAAGGCAATATCGACATGCCGAGAGTATGGAAGAGAAAAATGTCCGTACGTAGACGTACCATATCTTGATGATGTCGAGCTTGTCGAGCTTCCTTCGGTTGATCTTCGCGTGCATAGTCGCGGCCATCCTTCGTCAACACGCGAGAGCAACGCACGGCAGGCCAAACATTCATCAAATCACAGAATCAGAATGCCTGTTTTTTCTCAGCGAAAATTATCAGAGACTAAAACTATATGTTATCACGCTATTCATTCACCGGGGACAGAGTTATCCCGCTATTTCAGGACTCTCTGCATGAACAGGAGGATCAGGTATTTCGAAGTTGACGTAAAACAGAGCAAAGAACGTAACATCGCATATCAATCTTCGCATCCGCGTCGCTCTCCTTTCAAACAGAAAGAAAAACCGAAGATCACCGCAGAAGTTGTAAGAACAGAGCCATATCTTCCGGAAATGAAAAACCATCGCTCCTGACAGCAGCGGAGCGCAACGGAGACTCGACAACTCAAGAGAGCGAAAACCATTACGCGTTTCTCACGCGCATGCTATCCTGGGCGTTGCTAAACAGGCGATGAAGAAGATACACAGACCAGCTTCACGTCGCTCGCACGACGGCGCATGCACCGAGAGACGACGTCGAACGGAACGGGAAGCTCGTTCGCGAGGTTCCGGGGATCGAAAAACGGCGGCGGAATCGAAGGGAATCGAGGGGGAGGAGGGAGAAGGAAGGAGGATCAACCATATCTGGCCGAGCGGAGCTTTGCGGGCGAGAAGCTGGTGAGAGTAGAACATCCTCCTCGCTCGTGCTACTGCCTCGGACTTTCACACTCACAGAGAGAGAGAGAGAGCTTGAGCTGCAAGTTTACTGGAATGGAGAGAGGTGCGTTAATGGAGTTCAAGCGGAGTAGCAGCGAGCAAAATCAGCGCGGGGGAAGATGAGGAAGAGAACGTTCTTACGTGAGAGCGCACATGATGAGCGCGCGTGAGCGCGTGAGAGAGAGAGTGAGGGTCGAAAGCCTGCAAGTATGTTCACTCGCCGCGACTGTAACAGAAAATTGGCTAACGGCAAAAAAAAAAGGCGACTAATGTCGTGAGCCGAGAGAGAGTGTGCTAAAGCTACCCGCGGGTGTAGGTAACCGTGCTGCGTTGTCGACCACGGTGGACGAAGAGGAGGTGACGGCCCGTTTGGTGACCGTAAAGTTAAGAGAAAAATAAGAGATCGATTCATTTACGAAGGCCACGGTAGGATTTGGGGTTATAATCCTATGATCAAGCTGTTGATTTTTTGTTCGGATCAATCTTGAAAGGCTTCACGCGCATTTGACGAGTGCACCCGATTCGATCCTCCATCGACGTGCGCGAACCGGTCAGTCTCGTTTTGTGCTCCCCGGTGCTTGTTTGGCGTGCTTCCGTCTCTAAACTTTCGACTGATCGAAGCAGATCGGATCAAGACGGTCGATCCGAAGGGGGGTGGGCTTTAGTGGTCAGTGACTGAGGATCGGGGACTCTGGCCTGACCACAGTCACCAAACTCGGACCGGTTTCTCCATGTGTCCGCAACTTGTTCCAGTTTCCATCAATTAGCGAGCTTAAGTTAATAAATGAAGCACCGGTCTTCGAATAAATATGGCAGTCGGACGCCGGCGTCATGCCGCCTCGTTTGAAGTATATATCAGCAAACAAACACCCGACATTCTTTAGGAACATAATGTCTATATCCCATCGTTTTGGCCGAGCAAAATAAGCCACCATATCATGCTTTACTTGAAATGCCAATTCAACATCAGTGGCAATTTTTTAAATGCACTCTTCGAACAGAACTATATATAAGCTGTAATTATCTGTGTAAGCCGGTGTTATAGAAGTGAACTAAGGAGAAGATATTTCCAGCTTCAAATTACAAGCAATTGGAAAAAAAAAAAAAGGGGAACATTTTGCTGTTTCTATTGCTGTATAACATCAAGCTTTATATCTGTTGAACTCGAACTGAGATTCTGCAGCTCAAGATTTTCTTCTGCAGACTCAAAGAATCGATTTTCTGCTTCTTGTGCTCAAACGCTTGTATAACGAAAGAATCGTACCACAAAACTAGAAATCATATTCATACAGATGGGAAGCATGCTCATGTGCTGATGCTGCCATCTCCCGGTCGCCAAAATCCTTTCTTACCAACAAGAAACTGTTCTTGGTGAAGGGTCACCGACCAGTGAAGTGAGCGCAAAACTGGACCAAGTTTGTTTATAACTTCTGGGTTGTCTTGTACCAGAACATAACCACCCGGCCTCAATATGCGATCCATCTCCACAGCTATATCTACAACCTCACATCTGATGAAATTGCAGAAGATCAAGTCATGAGAAACCAATCATCTTGATTCAATTAAAAAAAGATTGAGGGACACCTCCAAGTGTATCATGGCAAAGACAATAACAGAGGATCCAATTTCCATTCCATCAGTGTTTGGTCAAAAAAATAAATCATCAATTGAAACATCAATGAGTAAATTAATAATACCTCTCCGGAAGATCTTTGAAGAGAAAACTGGAATGAAGCAGATCATATGTTCGAGGGTAGGTATTGAATGATTCGCACCAGTCATGATAGGTTCCAATCAACCCTCTGTCAAATATAACAGAGAGAGAATCTTGCACATGAATTGGGACAACATTCATAACCCAGAGTGGCATGTCAATGAGTGCTGCTGCGAATCTAAGAGAATAAAAGGTCACAGTGTCAGTGCAATTCCGAACATTGGAAGAAAATCAAATAGCCATCAAGTAACTAAATAGTGGAACAAGCCAAAAACATTAAATAAACCTGAAATCGCTTAGATAAAGCATTGATTAGGTGGACAAAGAGAGAAAAAAATACATAACATAATAAAGCAGAGATGTATCGCCACACAGCTAAGAGAAAAACCACTCCCACTATGAGTAAAGGAGAAAGTGATGTCCAATTAGCTGGTATTTTATACAATCTTAAACTTACCCTCCATAACCAGCATTCATATCCATCACATTCCTCATGCTTGACCAGTTTATACCAAGGCCTTCCAAATAAACATCTGAAACAAGGGCAGACCAATGTTTGCTATCTTCGTAGAACATTTGCTCGGTTTCAACTTCACTTGACAAGCTTAACGGTTTAGTCCTGAGCCTTGTAGGCCAGGGAGCAGGCCAACTACTATTGTCTGGAAGCCTGTTAAGGCAGCCACCAAGAGGCACATACCTGGATCACAATAATAAATGAGATCAGAAGGGCATACAAGCATGGCAAATAGAATTGTGACCAGAGATGATAAAACGATAACTGAAATAAGGTCAAAGATGGAGCACTGAAATAAGGTTGAAGATGGAGTAATCTTGGACTGAATTAGAAAATATACAAGCCAAGCAAATTCCCTTCTTTTGGAGGTCCCACATTTATTTATCAGATGGATAGCAAAAATGACACAAAGGTCGACTCATTTGTGAGATTGATCTCTGAGTTCGGAGCAATTGAGAAACCGGACTGAGGCAAAGGCTTCTGAACAAGACAAACTTAACCTGATTCACAACCACCCTCATTTGAGCTTCTCTCATAGAGAGCTAACCCATTTAGCTAGTGCTCAGTAGAGTCAACAGCTTTTAATTAGTCATCCGCCTCAAACTGAATCCGTTCCCATATCTACACACCTTTGCCCTTCCTTCTCTCTGTGTGTGCGCATGTACCCATGCATGGTCGTGCAGGCATGTATGGATCTTTGGGGTGGAATTAGGTAATGCTACATCCCAGCCTTGTGGTCGTGACACAACAGCATGTCCACAACAAAATATATTTTTTGAATGACCAATGCAATATGACATTAGTACCAAGAATGTTGCCGCTGATCTTGCTGTTCACATAAGGGGGGACTACTTTCTTCACGTTTCTGGTAGCAGGAAGGTGAAACAGGTTTTTGATATATCACCAGGCCAATCCCAGATGACTCCATAGCTTTAGCCACCACCTTCCAGCACATGGACTTCGTCAAATCAACCATAGCTGCAGAACAAGTGGATCATCAAGGCCCAGTTAAATCAACACCAGTTGTTGACATCTCCGAGCATTTTACTCGGAATTTACTGCAGACGTAATAACGTAAAACTCGCAGACTCGGCGAAGAGGTAAAAAGACAGGAGGAAGGAAGAAAATTATGTCAGCTTACACACCATTCCAGACGGTTTGATCCCTCTCATCATTGCGATAAACTGGGGTAGCCGACCATAGAAAGAAACCCCCAGGCCTAAGAATCCTGTTGAGCTCCAACAGTGGTTTCCCACCTACATTTTCCACAAAAACCAAATAAAGATGAACTCAAGACTTCACAAAACTTCTATAAAATGGCACATGTATGATTGATTGACAGGAAGTACCATCTGCATCCCAGTGAACCCTGCATCTTGCACAATGAATCAAGTCGTATGTGTTATCTGGAAAAGTCAGCATCTGTGTTCCAATAACGGAAAGAGTGGCAGGAATTCCTCGTTCTAGAGCAAATTGTATCTGAGCTTCATGCTCATCCTTTGGAGCCAATGACATGGTAATTACATCTTTGTCCAGCAAATAACCACCAAAGCTGGCAACTCCACAACCAACATCTAAAATAACCCTGACGTGTTTTCCCCATTCTATGGCTGGTAAAGTCTGAGTGAAATAAGCAAAATCAGTGAACCGCGAAAAAAAAAAAGGAAAAGAAATCCAACTACTCTGAAAGGTAACAGCCCAGTTCAGGATTACGTGATGAACAATTTGCAGCCAGTGCCAGTGCCGGATGCCAACATAATCAATGTGAAAGTTTTGACCCTTTTGCAACTCAAAAGACGACCAAGCGTGGTAATACATTTGGTACCTTTTCTACAAACTGAATATAATTATCGACTCCATCCTTAAATTGAGTTCCTCCTCCTGGAAAATGAAAATAATCGCCAGATTTCTGCACCCAGTTTTGGTCCCTCTTGTATTCAACAAGCTTTGGGTGAGGAACATTGTTGTACCAGATCTGCGGGGCATAAAGAAGATAACGGCCAGTATTAGTTTACTGGTAAACCACGTAACATGAAGAGATCTCATCTTGGTCCAACATTTTTATGGAATCAGCAGAAGAATTGATTTCAGAAAAGGCAGAAATTTCAATGCCAATACGACTGCAATTGCTTCTATAAGCTAATATGAGTAATACTCATCGATAAGAGGCAATTTTGTGAGAACACAAACTAGAGGGATTCAAAGAAGAAATCCTTCAGACAGAAATTGATGAATGGATGACAGCAACAGATTCACATCACACAACCTCATCGAATAATAATCCGTCAATCAAGTAATGAGGAACTAACACAAACATCACATTATCATAGCTGATAGTGATAGATCACACAAACCTCAGGAGATTGGGCAGCGACTGCATCGAGATTCAAGAGGAACTTATTTCTTGAATCAACAAACATCACATTACCGAACCAAACCCCGAAAAGGCAGTACGAAAACACTCCCAAGAAAAACTTATTTCTTGAATCAACAATCAACCAAAGAGATACGCATTTTGAACTAAAACCACAAATCTTACCAAAATCAACATATCAATCTCACCATGTCCCTGCTCTTGGGCCACGGAACAGGCGCCTTATACCCTTTCGGAAGCGGCACCAGACAACGCGGGCTCGGGCTCGGGCAATGCCGCTCGCGGTGCTCCATGTGCCGCCTCGAGTTCAACTGCTTGATCGCCTTGAAATTGTCCAGGCACGGTATGAAATCCACCGCGGTCGGTCCCTTGCACGCCTCCCACTTCAAGCTCGAATCGAGAGGCGGCGGCGGCGGCTGCTCTTCGATCGGGGCCGGGACTGACGAGCCTCTGGGCGGCGGGGGCGCCGGCGAGGAGATCCGCCGGAGATCGGATTGGGAGTAGAAGGAGAGTGAGGATTGGGAGCCGGCAGTGAGGACGAGGAGGGTGACGAAGAGCAGGAGCAAGATCGAGGACGCGAGGATGAAGGGGTACTTCCTCTCCTTGAAGAGGTTCTGCACTGCTGATAGCGCCATTGTCGATCTTGCTCGAGGTCGAATGTGATCCACAGATTGAAGAGAGAGAGAGAAGAGAGAGAGAGAGGGATCTTGAAAGGAAAGGAGACGATGATGATGTTGGACGCGGTAATTGACTGGGGGAAATTCGAAATGTCGTTATATATCCACTAGTAATAAATTAATAATATAATGCTAAAATAAAAAAAAATAATCAAACTCTTTAGTATTAGAAACGTAAAATCCGTATTTCGATGAAAATAGTACTTCTCGTTTTCTTTTTCTTTTTATCTTTTGCTAGATTAAAGAGAAGATCTTCCGTTCAAAATAAAAAGAAAATTGGGCATCCTTCCGCACCCTTTATTGCTAAGTCCTTGTTAATTACACATATGAACCATATGATTTTATATGCTCATCAAAATAAATCATGTAAATGATTGAATATTATCGTTCCCTGAAATATCACGTGTAATGCATGTGGATGCAGTGGCTATATGCAGGAGAAAGAATAAAGTAGTAGGGACTCGGGAGGTCTTGTTTCTTTTCTATAAACTTTTTTTCTTTATTAATATAGTAAGGAGTTATATTAGGCTTATTAATATAATAAGGAGTTATATTACTTGACGCAACAGAGTCCAGGAGAAAAGGATGTCGACGCAGCAACATGCGCAATTGCTAGATTGGCTGGATTTAGATTTGATCCGGTCCTCCAAATTACATTTCAAGTCGCCCACTGTTGCTCAGGAGATCACCCAATTCCTGTTTGCTGGAGATTGGAACTGCGGAAGTCGGATTTCACAAACTTAGCAACTCGGTGCAAAAAATCGGGCTATTCGACTCTTTTAGGATCAGTTTTTTTAGAAAAAGAAAAAGCTATCTCCGGAAAATTATTTTCCGACTTTTTAATGTTTGTATGACGGAAAGCTAATCGATTTACAGATAACCTTTTTCATAAGCTGAAAATAACAAGTATAGCTTAGAGGAAAACCGACATCTTCTTTTGATAAGAAGAAAATCACTTTCTTTGAATCACCAAGCAAATGAAAACTCATTATTTTCCTTGAAAATGATTTTCATAAAAAATATTTTCCTCAATCATGAAATTTTCGACAAAAATAAACGCATCCTTAAAATGAATTTCTAAGTTTAGGAGATGGTCCGTTATCAGCGGCCAAAATGATTTCAAACAAATAGAACAGGGGTCATTCAAAAAATAACACCTCCCTCCTTAACACACTCATTAGCTTAAGAACGAAGCTCTGCCTCCCGGAGAGGCTCTCGGGTGTCCCAGCGGCTGTTGCCGCTTCTCCGGTCGGCAGCGGAGCTGGTGATTTTGCCGATCCACAACGATGAGAGCATCCTTCGCAGACGTGCCCATCTATCTCAAACAGCCGCAATTCCAAAACGAAAAAGAACACTTCCCTCCTTAGTGTAAGTTCCGCACGTGCAGAAAACAAGTGCAAAACACTCACAAGCAGCTATACGACGCAGGAGCTTCCACCACCAAAAATGATCAGACATCGTCCAAATATAAACTAGCGCACGAACGCAATACTCCGCATCTTCCATGGAAAACATTCTTCACGTACATGATTAGTCTACTTTGACATCATTTTTGTTTAGTTTTGATGCGGACATGGCAACAGTTTTCGAAAGATTCTTGCTTACATCTCTAGGCAATCCTTCACTAAATCATGTTTTGCATTGAACACATTTCCATATCTAGTGCTCAAAGTCGCCAAACAATAAAGAATTTCCCTTCACGGACTTGACTGAATAAATCAGTACATACTGGGAACATCTGGTTTTCGGATACAAAGAAATTGATCTAAACGCATATTATCACCATTCCCTGAGTTTCTACACTCCTCATATAAAAAAAAAAGGTACATCGGGTTTTGCTAAACTTCCCTAAATCATCAATTCAGATTATCAAAGCCAACAGGCACAGACAAGGAGAAAAGCTCAATAGTACAATTTGAAACTCACTTTGTACAACCGCAAAAACCCCGTTCCAGAGGGAAAAAAATTGGTTTGGGATAATTTGTTACAAAAGGCTTGCTTCTCTTACTCCGTTATTCCGGAACCTGCATTTTCCACATCAATTGCTCCCATACCTGTATCTTCCTCTTCTTCACTATCTTCATCTCCACTAACCTCCTCGTTGTCCCGGTGCAACTGAAGCATGTGCTCAGCAAGTAATTTGTCATCCCGTTCACTCACCTGTTCAGATACATGCTTATTACAGTCTCAAAGAAGTGATTTTCAAGTGTTGCAGAAATGCTAAAGCAGATGAATATCTCGTTGAAGCGTGCAAGAGAAGGAAATTTGCAGGATCGCATCAAGTTCAGGATGCATAAAACGCGCACGAGATAATGTCACTAGTAAATAGAAGAAACTGCTCACCGCTCTAGGGGCCTCCTTCACAACGAGTTTCCCCTTTTGCTTCTCAATAGCTTCACTGCAGGCTGCAATAGCTTTATTAAGAATTGCCAATCCTTGCTCCTGCCAAATGCAGTACAAAAGCAGCCGAGGTTTCATGAGCTGACATACCACCAAAAACTTACCAATACATGATGACTTTCTCTCTCGACGGACATTAACATGTTCAAACAGTCTTAAGTAGAAGTTTCTTTAAAGAACAATTCAGAGCTTCTCAGAATAATCATGCCAGTGATGAGGAAAAATACGCATCCAAAAACTAACATTGGCATCTAAGAGCATTGATCCCAAAAAATTAGATCCCACAAAAATAGATCAAAGATCAACAAAGGAGTAATTTTACGTTGCAGCTTTTTGGACAAAACTTGCCATGAAAAAAAAAAATATATATATATATAAAAGAAGCCACGACGAAAAATTCATAGGAAATTTTAAATGATCAGATTAATAACAAGTTGGCAAAACCATATCCTTCTAAGGCCGATAAAATTAGGACAGGAACCTATCATCATAAAGCTTAGGTCAGACTCAACAGACTTCCACATAGTGGCTAGCTACAGAAGTGATAATACTCGAAAAGGTGGAAAGAAATGTTGATGACAATAACTAAATATGGACAAACGAAACCCAACACCCAACTCCCCACTGCAAGAGTTACCAAAGGCTTACAGTCTCAAAAATAGTTTATATTTGCCTCCAAAGAGACAAAAACTAGTAATGAAAATTAGAGAAAAGAAGTATGCACAGAGGGCACTTCTAGAAGCCCATAAAAGAACCAAAGTGAAAATGACGACTTTACAAGAAAAGGTCAAGTGAAGCACCGACCTTGTCCAGAGTCTGAGTAGTGAGGACATAAAGTGGAGGTGCAACCAGTTTGATTTTCACAGGACAATCATCGTTTCCAGCAGCTTCAGCTTTCCTCATAGCATCCTGCAGAATCAATTGTTAAACAATTAAACTAGAAGGGTAATGAGAGAATACCTTATAGATAAAATCACTACTCTCTTGAACAGATGTACTCTAGACAGAGTGAACATAACCAAAAACTAAGTAGAAAAACAAAGTAGGGACCTTAATGTGAAGAACACCATCAAGCTGGAAACATTTCATTTCAATATCAGCTCGTATCTTCAATGGTTGTGGGGTCATTCTTCTCCTAATATTCTTTACCAAAGAATCTTTCACTTCCTCCGACACAGCAGGGACCACTTTTGTCGCCTACATACCAATTAAAGCTGAATTGAGTAATAGGCTACAAGGACAGCTCACAATCAGTATGTCGTTGCGAAGTCTACCTCTTGTCCATTGGGACCAACTTCTTTGATCTCACGGGTTAGTGAATCAAGAACTGAATCGGGATCTGTCACAATTATCTTAAATGCCTGCACAAAGATATAGTTAGTAAACTCAAGACCCCAGGGCACCTGTACCACAGAACTCAAGAGCAAACCCCATAAATGGCCGAACAACTCACCTCAAACGCATGTCCGTATTTCCTGTACAGAGGCCAGCCAATACTGACGTACAGTTCCTGTGAAAGATCATTGCAATTCCCCTCTATCATCACGGACAACAAATAAGGCGAAAAAAAAGTCCCAAACTAAAGTTTCCAGCATGTGAGACTTTCATTTCTAATAAGCAATTCCCTGAAAGCAGCAGCAATTCAAATAACTTCTCTCCAATGAGTAACTCACAACCCTCAAACTTTTTACTACCAAGAACCTAACCGCCAAGCGTGGAGACATGGACTTGCTCTACCAGGAGGAACACTGCTGTTCTCTCAATCAGCAAGCAAGACCAATGGCAGAATACGATTCCTAAAACAATCTTCAGCAGAAATGCTTCGTCGGAACGACATCAGCAACATCCACGAGTTTCTCAAATTCACTTCAGAAACTCAAATCTCTGCCTCCAAGACCAGAGACTCTTTACCACAATTCACGAGGAAAAAAGAAGAAAAAACCAGCAATCGTACTCCGGCAACTCGCAGGGTAAGCATCCGAACAAACTTTCCTAACCATACCGACAAATCAAACCATCAAGCGATAACAACGAACGCAGCAGAAATTGGGCGAAACATAATCGACTAAGAACAAGAACTCCAATCCAATAACAACACACGCCCCAAATTGAATCACGCGTTCCACGCATATCAAAGCGCACAAAACTCCGACAGGTTTAACCAACCACGCACCTCCAGATCAATGCCCAGGGTCTCCGCCACGTGGCGCATGATGGAGTGGACGAGCTTGCTCTTGTTGTACCGCTCCTCGCACGCCTGGATGTCCTCCTCGGACACCCTCCGCTTGCTCAGGTCGATGTATCCCTTCTCCTTGTCGACCCGGAGCACCATGACGGGCTCGATCCGGCCGACCTTGATGAGGCTGCTGACGGAGCGGATCCGGCGGCGGGAGAGCTCGGAGAAGAGGATCATCCCCTCGATGTTGTTGTACTCGAGGAGGGAGACGTAGGCACCCATGTCGGCGATGTTCTTCACCTGGATCATCACCGCCATGTCCACCTCCGGGTACTTGGCCTCGTACATGCGGCACTCGAGGTTCGGGGCGTGGGACGCCATTGGAGGGGGCAGGGACTGTGGAGGAGGCTCTCTTCTTCTAGGGTTTTGGGAGTTCGGGAGAGAGCGTGCGGGGTGCGCCGAAGAGGACGATGGGGGGGCTGAACAAAACGATGGATGGGATGGCTTTGGGTGGAATTGTCATGTCGTCGCGGTTCGGGCCGCCGGGCGAAATGACCCCGGGCGAGCTATTCGGGTTTATACCCGCGTCCGATTGAGGGAGTGGGCTGCAGGCCCGTATCGCATGGTCCAGGCCCGTTTGGCGTCGTTTCTGGCTTTTTGGGCCGAAAATAGAGATTAAGAAAGGCCCACTCGATTGGATGGGCCAATGGCAGTGCGCGCGCAGTATCATGATTCGGGGGTCTTGTCGACGAATTGCACATTTAAATGTTGGGATAAGTATGCTGAAAATTCTAAAAGTTGTCACGAAAGTGCAATTTAGTTTTAAATTTTCAAAAAGTATAATCTAGTCCTAAAAGTTATCACGAAAGTGCAATGGAGTTCTAAAACTTTTAAAAAGTGCGATCAAGTCCTAAAACTTATCACGAAAGTGCTATTGAGTATTAAAACTTTGAAAAGTGTAATCAACGGAACGACTTGATTGAACCAATTTGACATATTTTAGGATCTGTTTGCACTTTTTCAAAGTTTTAGGATTCAATTGCACTTTCATGATAAGTTTTATGATTTAATTGCACATTTTGAAAGTTTTAAAACTCAATTACACTTTCATGACAAGTTTTAAGACTTCCAATATACTTATCCCTTTAATGTTAAGAGTTAAGTAAAAAGTTCATGTTTCCAAATATTAATAAATTACGAACATATTATATAATATACATGTGTCGATATTTAGGTATTATGAAAGTCTTGACTGTTTTGTCCAAAAGTGATTTCAGTTGAATTTTCTACTTCGGATTCTTGAAATTAAGGAAGTAAATTGGGTGGGCTCAGTCCGACGTTTAAGAAACTTTGGATTACCAATTGAAATAGGAATATAAGATCGAGAGACTAACGTAGAACGATTCGTGTTTTCTATTGATTTATAGCCAAAATTGGAGCAACGTTTGATCATACTTTTTGAATGTAGAAAATAAGAGGAATATCAAGAAAGCGACCCGACCCGAAATCAATTGCACCAGCACCTTTCTCTATCTCAATTATTCATATCATGGGGGGGCATGACGTCCACCAAGAAGCGCTTTCTCTACTTAGTTCCAAAGCAAAGCGAAAAAGAAGAATGGCCACTGTAATCACACCAACATCGAAAGCAAAGCAAGGCAAAGCAAAGCAACGATTAAGTAAAGAAAGCCAATGCTGACAAACTTCAAGAAACCAACACCTGGAAAATAAAAAAAAGCCACCTTAAACTCCTCGCTCGCTCACACGCTACTAGCGCTACCTTCGCTTTAGTTCGCTCTCCGTCTCTCTAGACCCTTCCCTTGCGTTCATGGCGACCTTGGCAGCGGAGGCGGCGAGCTGGCCGGACGCCTTAGCCCTCGCGAGCGCGATCGTGTCGTCGGCCGGGGACGTCCTCGCCCACCGGAGGAACTGCAAGCAGCTCGCCGGGCACGCGGAACTGGTACGAGCCTGGCTGGAGAAGGTGAGCGGTACCGACCTGGAGAGGGTGCCGGAGATCCGAGAGGGTCTGGGGGAACTGGCGGAGGCTCTGAGAGAAGCGCTCGAGTTGGTGGAGAGTTGCAGAGGGAAGAGCTGTATCTACATGGTGGCCACCGGCTGGAACGCCGTGTACGAGTTCCGTCGCGTGCAGGCGGAGATCGATCGGCGGGTGGAGATCCCTACGTTGACTTCGTTGGTGCATGAGTTTCGCATGGAGGTAATTAACGGGAGAACTCTCTCCCTATCCCTATCTTGTCGTGCTACTTGAGCTACTCAAAACTTGACTCGAAGACCACTCAATATTTAATCATCTTAGACTTATCAAGACGAAAACATGAACAAATGATACTATTTCTTTCGAAATTCTACATGTTCTAACTTACCCGCTCGACCTTATTATCAAGTCGATTAAGTCGAACTCGAGCTTATTGAACACATAGTCCAGTCGGGTTAGTATTCGAGAAGTCGAGCTCGAGTCAAATATTCAGCCTTACAAATTTGAGTCTAGCCCGAGATCCGACGTTAAAGAATGTTTGTTGAGCTTGATTAGACAGATGATTATGGATCTACTAAATATCCATGTCATTTGTTGACGAGATTTAGATATCTTTTATATATTTATATGCTCTGTTCTCGTTTGTAAATTTAAATTTTCAGGTTGGATTTTTTTAACATAATCCGTCCACAGATACATCTTCTCTTGTTTTGCCACTTCCACCGAATTTGCTGTCGGCGCTGTTGAGACGAAAAGTTGAAGAAGTGCGACTAAATAAGAATAAGACAATAAATCATTAAAGTCAGCACGTTTATTAGTTAAATAATACTTTTTGCGGCCAATAATTCTTCCTTACTTTAAGATTAAAATAAAGCTGGCGCACTTCATAGATGGGACTCGTCGCCTTTTCATTTTGTGAAAGATACATCACAAGAAATAATTGTTATTAGCAATATGATCAAGTAATGACGCAATCTGTTACTTCATCGCATCATGTAAAGTTCACAAAAAGGCGCTCAATGCGATTAAGCAAAGTTCTCATCTTTCTTATTACGCTCTGATCCTTCCTTGGGATTTCTCGTTCCAGCATTTGGAGCAAGCCTTGCGAGCCATCAGAGACGATCGCAGAGAGTACACGCTGGACGAGCTGGACATCGAAGCTCAGAACGCGATCCTGAAACCCAATCGGACCAAGAGAGATGCGGACATACTGGAGAAGTTCCTGTATCGAGCGTACCCCGACCTGCGATTCGACGAAGCTCTTCAAGAGGAGCGAGAGAAGCTGCACGTTGAGTTGCAGTGGCTGCGATCGAGGAATGACCCGAAGCAGTGTCGGGTGATCGAGCATCTCATCGGGGTCGCCGAGAACGCAACCAATGGGTTGCCGAGCAAGAGGGTCACGAAGCTGCTAGTGAATGAACCGGCATTCGTCATATCGGGGTAAGTATTAATAAGTCTAAACTGAATGCTCTTAGATTGGCTTCAATTCGATTTAGCAGGATCGGTTTGTGTAGTAGCTGGTGGGATTCTTTTCATGTGGCCAGGTATATAAACAATGTAAAGTCCATCACGGAGAGCTTTCAAGATCAAGGCCAAGATGACTGGCAGGCTGATCTTTTTGGTTGCTGCATGGAGCCCTGCTTGAGTGAGTCTTTGCTTACATAAACACTTCGAAGTGCTCTTTAAACGGACAAGTAATTGAATTATTCCAACAAAATCAAGCCAATCATGCACATGTCTTGTGTAAAGAAGAACGCAAAATCTGCGTAATTTGGATACAATGATTGGTTTTATCGGTCCCATTTACCATAAACGTGTTTACCAAGTCATTAGTTCCAATATAGCAGCAGAAGTATAGATTAATCGATGACTCGAGAAATTACCTGATGAATTGGCTGACTGTACAGTGGTTTAGCTTATGATTAACATCATTATCTTTGATTAATCTCCATGAAGAAATGTTGTTAGCTCTAATAGGAGGTTATCAGCTTACCTGTAGAGGGCACGTTCTTTGTAACAGGCTTCAAGACCTGCCTATATCCTTGTGGAATGTTTGCAAAGATCGCAAACGCAGTGTCCAGAGGAGAAATATGTAAGTCCTCATGCCAAAAATGATAGTCCATATGAGAGAGTGAGAAGGAGAGCGCGAGAGAGCATGCGTGCGTGCATGCATGCATGAGCTAATTCGTCTTGAATCCAATGGCCAGCTCGTGAAGCTGCCGCAAACAATGTTTTTGCATTCTCTCTCGTCGGCAGTTGCTGCTGCTACACTTGCTGCGTGAGAAGGAGGCTGAGAGAGCTTTTCAACATTCAGGTGCTTTCCTTTCTAATTGGTAGTTGACATTATGTTTCCTCGAATGATTTTGAAATTCATTAGAAAGAAGAAAGAAAATCTCACCGAACTCATGGTTTGCTGTGTAGGGAAGCTTATGTGATGACTTCCTAACGCACCTGATGTGTTGCTGCTGCGCAATGGTTCAAGAGTGGCGAGAGCTTGAACTAAGAGGCTTCGAGGGTACGTGTGTTTCCAGATGTAGCCTCCTCGTCGGCCAGTCTTGCTACTTATTTACCGCAAATTCATTCTTTACAGGGTGCCAGGGGAGAAAAATGATTCCTCCACCTTACCAATTCATGAAGCCTTAAACCGGTCAACTGGTGACTGATAGTATCAGTACTTCATTTTGTTTTACAATGCTACATAGTTTAGTGCAGAGAGAGAGAGAGAGAGAGAGAGAGAGAGAGTTTGTATGAATATGTTCTGTCCTTACACAGATTAGTTTCTTTGCATGCTTGATTAATAGAAACTCGATATACATTAGTTACTGCAGGATCAGCAGATCAAAGAAAAGAAGAAAGAACAGAAATTTATCTAAACAAGTCTGCTAAGCAGCCGGATAGAAACCTCTTACAGCTCATGAAATTGTCCAAACCTGAACATATCAAGTTCTTTAAGAACTTCTCAATAGATACAGTCACACTATCAGAGATGACCGAATTTGGAAAAGAAAAAAGGAGTTAGATAATAGTCGAAATTACTTGAATCATCACGCACGGCGAGAAAGCACCGGCGTCCGATTTACAAATGAGTAAATCATGACTCAAGTACTCTTCAGCTTGTTGAAAGAGGCACTATGGGCTATGGTTAAATGCACAGTTTGGAAGGTGCCTCCTAACCTGGAAATTAAACTGAAGGGAGTGTCAGCAGCTAAAAAGAAAGAACTTCCATCACCACGTTGGAAAAAGCGAAACTACAACTCATTTCCGTGGGAACCTGGCTCATTGATTCCCGACGGAAAAAGCCAATGGTACAACGCTGACAACTTACTATTCCCAGAACTCAGCTCCACCTGATCGGCCTTCACATTACATAATGCATCATAATCATGCTTCAAATGGGGAGCTGCGATCTTTTCCTGAGAAAAAATAATACTTCCATGAAATATGAGCGAATATTCTATCTCAGGGAGAAACTTCAAACCATGAATAGTACCTTGAAAACTTCAAACGGACAAGAATCAGCACCACCACAACCCTATAGAAGGAGGCAAATAATTGAGACAATCTTACTTATATGAATACAAAATAAGCCGCACAGTGAACTCCAATATGCTGAAAAGAGAAATATGACATTTATAATGAACGCAATAATGACAATCTGGCTTACTGTCTCATTTGTCTAAAATGAGGAGTCAATGAAAATTATGCCATGAACACAGACAAAAACAAGAAAAAAAAATTGAGCGAGGAGTTCAATGTTTATGATTGACAACATACCGGCATGGGAGTGGGATGTTCATTGTGTAATACTTGCACGTAGTACTTGTTTGAGAGATTAGCAGGACAGCTATAAAGTACCAGCATATTATTCCCACTGAAAGGTGCCACAATGCTCCCCATCCAATTTCTGTTATGAGGAGGTTTTGGAGGGAGCGGCAAGGGTTGCTCTCTCTGGATTTGCTGAAACTCTAAATTATCAAGATACAAAACCATTAAGAATAGTGACCACAAACCAGAAGAAGATGTAGGACAGTGCTAAACAAATTCAGCCTCGTGACATGCTTTGAAAGAAATTTAGTACAGATAACTCTTGGCCAAAAAACTAGAGATGATTTGCTCTTACTACAACCAAATAAAAAAGTTGAAAGGAGCTTACCAGATCCTTCAAGGAAAAGGCCTAGGAGACAGGAAAAAGGAACCACAGTTTCGGCATGCGCAAATCGAAGTCTAGCTTTCTCATAACTTCCTGGAGGATGCTTTTCTAGAGAGAGAAAAACACAAGAAGTTAAATTAGGACTAGGAACAAGTAAAGCCGGAAAGAGATAACAAGGCAAATCCACAATGAAGAAATTACAGTGACAAGAGGGAGATCGTAATTGCATGCAGTTGATAACCTATCCAGCCATGATGAAGAAACTACAGTTCAGTGCAGATGCCACTACTGGAGATAGGTCACAGTCTATTAACTGCCCCGTTAAGGGCTACGTTAAATATTCTAGATTAACTAAGAAAACATTAACTGCCCTGAAAGTGACACATGCAACGAAGAGATTGATCTGTTTACATACGGTTCCTTTCTACATTCTATGCATGAACAAAAATCTGTCAGTCTTTTGACACTGAAGTTGGTAACACCAAACAAAGTCTAATAGTGCAGGGGACCCTTGCCCAGATCCAGGAGTTCCAAAGGTTTTCTAGAATGGAGAAGTCAATATCCAATAAGAGACTCACTCAATTACCCAAATGTAGAGAGAAACTGACCAGCAGGATCCTCCTGATTATTGAAAACCCAGATTTTACGAATCGAGAATAAACAGATAAAAGGAAAACTGAATTGTGAAGTTTGATTTTTGAGAGTACTACATACTACATAGCAAGCCTAGGAACTGGGTTTATTTTTTAATTATCTAAAGGCACATACTGTCGACAATTCATGTGGAAAAGGTTAAGCTTATTTACTGACACACTTCCATTGTAAAATGATACAGAAAGGTCAAACAAGATGAGACTTGAAACATCTGCGTCACCTTCATTCGCCTGAATAGCTTCCTCCATGGATTGAACAACATCTTTCAGCAACGGTACGCCCATTCTGTAGTTCAGTGCTTTACCATATCCTTTCAGTATAAACACCTCCAAGTCATCGGTCCACTCCAGCAAAGCCATCTTACCAAACGAAGTACCAAGCAAAGTAAAGCATAAAATCGTCAGAGAAGAAAAGCTCCTCAAACTTCAAAAAATACTTAAGTTTGACAAATAAAGCATTCAATTTGTGACTGACACCACTAAAGTCATGGTTCCATAAACCTTAGACATTCACAAAAATCCACTACATGAATGATTAATTATTCAACATCAAGAACCTAATATTAAGCATGTTACCAAAATAGATGTTCAATATAAACAAAAACCAACAGTTCAACAAACTAAAAGTTGTGACCAGAGTTCAGAGTAGGCACCCACAAGATACCATCATTACTAAACCAAACTGCACGGAGATTGGTAAATAATAGGTCCAGGGGAAAGAAACAGTAGAAAGCGATTTACCTCATCAGGGTTGAAAAGAGCACATGCTTGATTAGTTATATCCAACAATGATGCCTCCTGCAAAGGGAGAAATGAAGAAAAATAGCCACACGGTCAGCTCTAAATGGAGAAAGAATAACCAGTCTTGAATTCAGCACAAGTTAAGCAGTTCTGTCAAGGGGAAAACAATCAAAAGGAGGATCAGATATTGTCACCTGTTTGCAGAGAAACCAGAGAGAAGATGTATCCTGCCTTGTAAAATTCAACTTATAGCGACTTGCTATGGCCCCAGTAATTTCGTCCAAAATGGGTTCCTTAAGCTTATCAACAGCAGGCTCCTGCTTTTTTCTAAAATTCTGCACCACAAATCAGAATGCCTTTATTTCGTTAATGTTTCTGTCCCATGAGTTCAAGAGTTATGCAGCAAACATGGGCACTCGATATTCTGTTACAATTTTTTTTTTGAAATGCTGTAATAAGAGCCTTGAACATTAGGCTTTGTGCAAACAGATATATTCCAGCTCTTAAATTAAAAGGTACTATAGACTCACATGAAAATACCTTGTAATTTTCACAACAATCATGAAATCTGAGCAATATATCACTTGCACGGCTTTCACTGGTGACAGCAAAAGCCCGATGCTTCCCCGGTCCAAGAGTTCCCTTTCCACTAAATAGCCCCATTCCAAAGGCCACAGCACTTGCTGCTGCCCTAGGGACCTAGTCTCATTGAAAAGGAGAATAATTAGGACAACTTCACAGAGGACAGAAAGAGAGATTCATTCCCAGACAATATGACCTCGCTGAATGCAATTCAGAATTCACGTTGATTTGTCAAAAGTTGTCAACAGATACTGAAGCTTAAGAGAGAACCACAGACCAATTTAAATTATCCAACTTTTTTTGCTTACCTGTGTTGCTTTCAGCGTATACATATCAGGGTGGTAGTCTTGACTAAACAATTCAGGAAATCTTTCACGGATCCTGATTCCAAGATCATACAACTCATCTTCTCCTTTGCTAATTAACTCTCCACCTTTCACTTTCCCTTTCCAAGGAGATGTCCATCCCCGCAACCAAGCAGGAACAATCTGCGCTAAATTCTTTTCTTCAGCATCTTTTACGAGTTCCTGTATGTGAGAAGCCAAATTTTCCAACTCTCTCATCCGTTTCTTTGTTGGAGAGCGAGTTCCATGCCTAGCCTACATATGCAAGACCAGGTGTTAGAAACACAAATGATGAGGATATTATAGCTCGCATATTTAGAAACAACCCGCAGCAACTGAAAGTACCAACACAACTACTGCTGATAACGCATGCAAGCCAGAGAATCACAAAGAAATCTTAACGTGTTGAACCTTGTGCCTGGGGGACCATCACCATGCTATCCAAAGGTTGACTTTGCAACCTTATCAACCTCGCAGTTTTTATAAGTCAAGTTGGGGAAATTTAAGATAGCTGATACCACAGGATACAAATTCCAGCAAGCAGGCAGTGCACATAATTAATCTACTGCATGCAATAAGGCAGGACCAAGTTGAGATAGCAAAAAACCAGCAAACTCCACAAACTTTACAGAGAAGCCTCTAAGTGTTACTCCCTAACGGGTCACCTAGACCAGTCATCAGTACTAAGAGTTCGATGAAGAACGATAAGATGGTCAGTCTAGTAATTAAATGTCAATCACTAATGCAACCATATATACAAAAAAATAATTAAGAACATAGAAAACAGAGATTACCACAAGATTTAAGTGAATAGGAGTACATCCATCGGGTACGCTCGACGGCACGTAGGCGTTGTTCGCGACATCTTTCCCCGCACCATACCTGACATCAGAACATAAAACAAGATGGGCAAACCCAGAAGACCGCGATCTGATTTCAGAAGAACTAATCGCATGCTTATGGGGGTTTGGGAGAGAATCAGCTAAAATGCACGAGAAAAGCTGAAGTCATCCCAGCGACTTCCTCATGGTTCCTTCGATGGAAAGCAAACTTTAAACAGTTCCGCTGAAGCGGAAATGCGAAGTGGGGATCGATTCGATTGTTCTGTACTTGTCGCCGACCAAAACGAGGGGGAGAGCATAGAACTCGTGTCCATTGGGGAAAACCATCAAACAGTTAAGAGGTTCAGATCAAGGACGAGGAGGAGTTACCTGGTCACAGTAGAGAGATGTTTCCGCACATCAAAAGCTTCTTCGGCCGCAGAACCAGCGCCGACGATCGCAGAAAGCATCAACAGAAGAGCAACCGCCGCCATATCCCTCGCCATTCCCATCTCCTTCTTCCTCTCTTTCGAAGGTTCACGTGAGAGAAGAACTCCGAAGAAGATCAAAGGGAATTTCTCTTTCTCTTCTCTCTATCTCTCTCCGGGCGTGAATATGTCGGGTCGGGCCGGTCCTGTTTTTATGCAAGCCCGACGCGAATGATTCGAACCGGTACCGGTACAGATCGACTCGGTACGGCAGGATCGGGTTGGTTCGGTGCAGAGTCCGAGTCCGAGTCAGAAAGCCATTTATATGTATATTTTTTACAAATACTTGTATTTTGTGTATTTATTTAATTTGAGCTTAATTGTAAGTGTATATTGCATATTGAAATATGGATTATCAGTGGAACTCGTATTAACATTGTCCACTTAAAATTACAATTAAGATTTTCATGATCAAAGTCTGCATTATATCAGGCGAATCAACTGCATTTAATTTTACATTAGTTATATAGTGCAATAAATTGACTACTCAACAGTTAAAGTGATATCTCTCCTATTATAATTTATATATATGCATGTAAGGAATCGCCCCCACGTTTCGTTAAATAGCAATTCTCACGATGAATTTCGTATTGCATAAAAAATAATAATATGCAAGGATGACAATTCGTATGTTATCTACAAATAAATTATCTTAGTTGCAAATTTATGAACAAATATTTATATTTAGGGTTGTAAATAGGTTTGCACGTTAAGGGTGCGAATGATAATCATTCTGTTTCTTATTTTTTTATTTTTTTGTTCCTGGAATTAGGTTTGAAACAAAAATTCGTTTGGTAAAATAATTTCATTTTTTTTATTTCTGGGACAAATTTTGGCCAAAAAATAGATTTGGAACAGAAATGAGAAGTTAAAATGTTTTACTTTTATATTTTTGGAACAGGAACAGAAATAACAAATCTCTTTTATTGCTCACCCTTGCCACCCACTTGCCAGCCGTCCGTCGCCCGCCGCCGCCACCGCCGTCGCCACCGCTCATCGATCGGTGGGAACATAAATTTTGTGTCTAATTTCTATTTCGGAAACAGAAATTTTGTGTCGTTATCAAATACTGTTTTTTGCTCAGGAACTCATCATGAAAAGAAAAATAGATTTTTCTATTTCTAGCCAGAAATAAATTCAGGGAAGAGAAATGTTGTCATTCGCGCCTTAAATATGCAAATAATTGATTTATCATTGGTCGTTTAAGCAATTATCATTGATTTGATAGATATAATAGATCTAGATATAAATAAATTATAGTTTTAAAATACAGCTCTCTTTTATATTCGGGGTTTTTGGTTGCTATGGATCTTTTTAACTTTTAGTTAATTTGCAATTTTTTGTGATTCATTGCTTAAATAACAAAAAAATTGAGATAGACTTGGAAAATTAACAAAAAAAACTCCATGGGGCGGCGGCACATCCCTCGTCCTCTCCCGGCCCATTGCCAATCCCTATTCAGGGTTATATTGTGGACCATAACATTTCTCGAAAGCACGTTTTGGATTGATTTTACGTATTTCTTTCGACTTAATTCTACTATCAGTGCTCACTAACTTTGACCTTTCTTTTGATTCAAAACGCTCGAAACACTCACAATACGGGAATAGTGCCAAAAAAGTCCTAAACCTTTTGCATTAGTGCCAATTAAGAGTGTTAGAACCGAACCGAAAAACCGAACCGAGATACGAACCGAACCGAACCGAAAATTTCGTGTATTTCGGTTCGGTTTCGGTTTCGGTTCGGATCATCAAAATTAACCATTTTTTTTTCAATTCGGTTTATTTCAGTTTGGTTCGGATCAGTTCGGATCGAACCGAACTGAAATAAACACTCTTCCTCTCGCTGAGACCATCCTCATTCCTCACGGTCCTCCACACTCTTCCTCCCGCCGCCGTCCCTGCTCTTCTTCTTCTTCCTCCCCATCGACTTGCCGCCCCCGCCCTCGCCGCCACCCCCGTCGCCGCCACCGCTGTTGCCGGTGACAACACTCATCTCTCTCGAACCCTAAACGCGGAAAACCCCCCAAATCATCAAACCCCACGAGGAGGCCCAGGAACCCCACCGCCCCCACTCCAATTCGGAACCGCGAGGATCACAACCGCCGGCCCTCGAGAGCGTCGAGCTTGTCGCCGCTGGCGCGGGGCACTCGGAGCGTCGCGCAACCGACCACAGAGCAGTGAACCCAACCGAACCGAACCGTGTACGTCGACCATTGTAAGGGCGTCAATGGCCTCGAGAAGGTTGTCCTCCGAGAAGTCTGTGGCTGTTCCGCCGAGGTATCCGATCGATTCGCCCCCCACCCCCCTCCACCCCATCGCTCGCGTCTCTGTGAACTCTCATTGTTTCCAGGAGTGGGGTTTTGGGTCGTTCTCCGTTTCTACTCGCGTTTTTTTCCCGTCGGAATCTTGTTTTTTGCGTTCTTGAGCTCTGGGAGCGCGGTGGAGTTTCGGGAGGTGGTCAGATCGAGCGCAATGGGCGTTGGATTTGGAGGCTTCAGATGTGGATTGGTCGGTTGGACGGGCCGATTCGTGTGTTCTCTCTCCATTTCTCGCAGATTGCGCGCGGTCGGGCCGTTCTTCTGTATGCATTTTCTCACTTGAGAGGCGCGGAGAAGGTGTTTGTCGAAATGGCCGAGAGGGACGTCATTTCATGGAATACTGTTATTAGAGTCTTTTCGGTGAATGGTTTGTATGAGGAGGCGTTTGTGTTTTTCAACAACATGAATTCGAGGTCTGGTATGAGGCCTAATACGCTGAGCGTTATTAGTGTTTTGCCGGTATGCGCCGGGCTCGAGGATGAAGTCATGGCGTCTCAGATTTATGCTTACACAGTTAAGGTTGGGTTGGTTACAAATGTGACTGTTGGGAACGCGTTGGTGGATGCATATGCAAAGTGTGGGAATGCAGTGGCTTCGAGGCATTTCTTTGACGAGATGGTTGAGAAGAATGTAGTTTCGTGGAATATGATCATTTGCAATGTAGATGCTTTTGATCATAGATGTTTTTTATTAGATTTATTGCTTTATTATAATCGTGGCTTTCATACTTCATTTCCTCTGAGATTGCAAATGATTCAATAGATGTCTCTTAGTTCCAATAATGTTGGATAATGTTCCAATAATGTTTATAGTGTGGTAGAGAGACTTCAGCTGTGGAGAAAACCATCTAAAATTATCATAAATACATTTTATTATCAAGAACTAGTAATTAAATATTAAACATCTTTTAATGTGAAATTATCATGCCAATTCATGCATATTATCAAAATTTTCCTGGTTTCTTTCTTCTTCTTCTTCTTCTTAAATTAACTATGCATAGATCAAACTAAGTATACATAATCTACTAAAGCCATTATCTTTTTCTACAACGTGATGAAATTTCTAGAGCTTTCTTAATTTTTTATCATAAAAAATTATCATAAAATTATCATAAATACATATTATTATCAAAAAATTATCATGAATTTTTTTTTATAAAAACAGAAAACCGAGCCATGAATAAAAAAGCAAAAAAAAAAAAAAAAGAAGAAGAAACCGAAAACCAAACCGAACCAAATCGGCTTATCGGTTCGGTTCCAATTCGGTTCGGTTCCTATTTGGTTCGGTTCAAGGAGGAACCCTTAACGGTTCGGTTCGGTTCGATTTTTCAAGAAAACGAAACCGAACCGAACCGTTTACACCCCTAGTGCCAATTTAGTCCTAAATCTTTTTTTGGTGCCAATTCAGTCATAAACCTTTTGCATTGGTGCCAATTTAGTCATAAACCTTTTTTTGGTGCCAATTAAATCCTAAACCTTTTGTTTTTGTGTCAATTTTGACCGGAATTTGCTAACGTGGACGCCTGCCTGCCGGCGGCCGGTCACCGGCGCCGACTTGGACAACTTTAATATTATTTTAATATTTTTTTGAATATTTATTTTTTTTCCTTTTTTTAATTTTTTTTTCCACTTTTTTTTGGCCCCCCCCCTCCTTCCTCTGGCCAGTCGCCAGTCCGGCGACCGGCCAGAGGCCGGCGAGCTCGACCTCGCCGGCCACTGGCGAGGGCGGCGGCCTCGCCCGGTGAGGGCGAGCCTCACCTTGGTCGGGCGAGGCTCGACCTCGCCGATCCGGCGAGGTCGGACCTCGCCCGACCATGGCAAGGCTCGAGCCTCGCCGGAGGCCTGCGGCGAGGTCGCTGGGCGGGCTCGACCTCGCCAGATCAGGCGAGGTCGGGCCTCGCCCGACCATGGTGAGGCTCGCCCTCGCCGCGGCCTCCGGCGAGGGCTCGAACCTCGCCATGGTCGGGCGAGGCCCGAACTCGCCGGATCTGGCGAGGTCGAGCCTCGCCCGACCATGGCGAGGCTCGCCCTCGCCGGGCGAGGCCGTCGCTCTCGCCAGTGGCCGGCAAGGTCGAGCTTGCCGGCCTCTGGCCGGTCGCCGAACCGGCGACCGGCCAGAGGAAGGAGGGGGGGCAAAAAAAAAGTGGAAAAAAAAAGAAAAAAAAGGAAAAAAAATAAAAATTCAAAGTAATATTAAAGTTGTCCACGTCGGCGCCGGTGACCGGCCAACAGGCGTCCACGTCAGCAAATTCCGGTCAAAATTGATCGGAAGGACTAAATTGGCACAAAAACAAAAAGGTTTAGGACTGAATTGGCACCAATTTAAAAGGTTTAGGACTTAATTGGCACCAAAAAAAGGTTTAGGACTAAATTGGCACAAAAGGTTTAGGACTGAATTGGCACCAAAAAAAGGTTTAGAACTAAATTGGCACTAATACAAAAAGTTTAGGACTTTTTTGGCACTTTTCCCCTCACAATACCAACTCTTGACACGTACATTCGGATATAATTTCTTCGTGATATTGTAAAATTTGAATAATATCTCATACATCGACAAGGTAAAAAGAAGTCGAGAGAGAAACCAAAAGTGCAAACCATTGAAAATTTCCAAACTCATCCTTGTCCTAACATTTTGACTTTTTTGTCAGATGAAATCAAAGAAACACGAGCTAGAGGAGAGACTTCCCTCTCCAGACTCACCTCGACAATTACATGAAGCGAGTGAACCTATAGCCATTGGATGCGGTGGATCTCGCGTGAAAATAACGATCCGATAACTACCATCAATTCATCGTATGATTAAGGAACAGCCGGTGCGAAGAAGCAAGTCCAGGGGAGGAACATCACCGTGCATGCAATGTGAAGTAAGTCGAGGGATCTCTCTCTATAAGAAGAAGATACCTTGTCAAGGAAACAGCCACTAGGCGCAAATTCGTTACTCGCCGCTACTTTGAATCCGAAAACAAGCGTTAAAGAAATGTCGATTCGGTTCGCCGTTCCTACCTCTAATATTTACAAAAACAGACTTTTCCGCAACAGTCAAAGCCACACCCACATGGATAAGCAACGCTAGCATCGACACCTTGTCAGTACAGCGATCCCCATAACCCTTTGAGAAGAAGCGAGATGCCCGACCTTCTCATCATGCCGCGACTTCTCGATGGAGTAGCATTTGATCAAAGTGCCAGACTCCTAGAACAGATGAAAGAAAGAATCAAGAATATAACACAAGAAATAAAACTTGACAAGGAAGACAATTCGCGTGTAAGGTGTAAACTTGCTAGGATTATGAACTGTTAAAAAGTTTGCTGTCGGATTCTTACCGTGCCCTTTGCCCACTCTTCTCAGCTGGGCTACATATTCAGATATCTTCTTAATGCTTTCCACCTGGAAAAAAAAATAAAGACAAAAGTGAATACATCATATTGAAACTATTATACAAGATCCAATATCATCTTTTACATGCATGTAGAACAGCAAACATATTCATGGAAATCTCTTCAGTCTTCACCTGCTCGGCCAAGAATCTGCTCTCGATGAAATCCATCAACTGCACATCATGGTTCTGCTCAGCAACCTGAGATTGAAGGTTTCGCAGCAGGAGTTATATTCAAAATCCTGAAGAATGAAGAGAATGTGAATGATGGAGCCAGTGAAACTCGTCAAAGATGTATGCCTATGGAAGTTCCTTTAGGTTTCGCAGCATGAGTTAAATTCAAAATCCTGAACAATGAAGAGAATGTGAATGATGGAGCCAGTGAAACTCGTCAAAGTTATATGCCTACATCATCGGGAATTTAAGGTTTAAATTATCTGCTGCATATGAAAGGTCATTCCCTCAGAGGACATGAATCCAAATCCATCCCATCTGAATTGAAGTAGACTAGTCTAATAATGGAAAACGACATCACATGCGTCATCATCCTATAAGCAGAGAGAAAAAAAAGCATAGATGCTCACTTTTTGCAAGCTCAGAAGCTTTTCAGTTGTCAGCTTTTCCAAACATAATGCAAGCTCCATAGCTGGATCAAGAAATTCAAGAAATTAAATTCCCGCAAGGGCCATTGGTAACAGAAAGAGGTAAAAGAAGAACGGAAGGCATGTCTGCTTGGGATAAAAAGAATGTGCCAATACGGAACAACTTGCAAGTTTAAATGAAGTTCCTCATGTAAACTTGAACGAAATGTACCGATTAGTACCAAAAAATAAACAGATCAAACATTAGATTCTGCCAACCCTATGTTGTTGAACAGCTCATCTGCAAGCCTGTCAAAGTCTAGCATCTATATAGGTATGCCTTCCCCAATTATTTGTCAAAAAATTTCTGACAGTCCATATACTCCTGGTGCATCATAAGCAGGAACAGCTTCAACGTCCCCCAAACACTATAATTTAATCTTCAATTTCAGCACTCAATAGTAAATTTAAGACGTATCTGAAGAACCAAATAAAGTAGGGATCTGATTGAGGCTATAGTGATAGTCACTGTCCCAATATATCCATGATGCTGATTTATATATGAGATAGCATGAATTTTCATTGGCCAGCCAAAGCTATAACTTAAAAAATCGTTTAGCATAAGTAATCTTCAAGAAAGAAATCTAACATTCACGTAGCACATGTAGCATAGTTAGTTTCCACAGAAAGCACTAAGTAAACTCCACACTGACTCAACATGAATGGCCATAACTAACAAGCAAGCCGCCAGACATTGAAAAGCCATAAACTTTATACAAATGATTTGGAGACTGCAAATGTATCACCATACACATGCACAGATTATGCTTTTGCAATTTTCAGATCATCAAGTCCATGCAGAAAAGCAGAAAAACCAACAGTAAAGAGCCACATCAGACGAATAATGTCATATAGAATTGAGAAGGTCACCATATAGTGCCTCTCCCTTATCCTCATGATCAAACTCCGAAAGCGGCATCACTATAGACCGCAGCTTCACCTTTCCACCCCTTTTGTTCTGCAGGCATAAATCCATTGAGCTATATCCTTCCATCACAACAGGCAAAAGTCCAAGCCAGTAGATGAACTAACAATGCATACCTGATACTCCATTAATATCTCTGCATGTTCCCTCTCTTCCTCGCTCGAATCCTTGAAGAATCTGTAAAAATAAAAACAGTGTGAAGATAAGGAAAAGGCACAGAAAAGCTGTCGAGTGACAAAGTGATGCAAGATTCGACAAAAGTTACTTTGCAAGACCCTTGAGCGCCACGTTATCTCTGTCGAAGTAGGCATACATGGCGTGATACACATATGAGACATTGTATTCCACACTGTCATTGATCAGGCACAGAAATTAGCGAGAATTCGAACAAGCATTGCAGAGAAATGAAACAAATCATACACATGACATCCAACAGCTAGAACGCATGCAATAATAACAGACTATTAAGGAGTACGTACAAGATAACAATCGGACCCATCTAAAGAACAAGAACAAGAACAACAGCGAAGCCAATCCAAGCATACAAAGAAACAGATAGCCAAACGAACCCATTATCAGGGGAAAAAAGGAACCCATGAAGTCAAACACTTACTTGATTTGCTCGTTAACTGCCGACTCGCACTGGTCACAGTACTTCTGGCGAGCGAGCGAGAGATGCGGAGAAGTGGGTACGAGATCGAGCTCCCTCTTGACCTCTTCAAAGGGCTCGAACACCACGCCGCTCAACTGCCGGTTGCTCGCTCCTTTCGACGCGCAGACCACAAGAAACCGCTCGTTCCCTCCGCGCGGGAATCGTACCGTCGAGGGTCTCGCCGAACAGGGCAAGAACGGCGAGGGAACAGGGGAAAGGAGGCGAAACAGGGCGCAGTCGTCCCCGCTCTTGAAGAGAGACAGAGCCCGAGTAGCCTGGAGCGACATCGGATCAAGAACGAACAACGGACGAAGACTCTATCGAAAGAAAACGATTGAAATGGATGTGGAGAGAGAGAGGGCGAGACAGTGAATTTGCCGTGAATTTGGGGTTCTCGGAAACAGAGCAGAATTGAAGGGGCAGAGATCGACAGAGAGTGACGCAGTGGAAAATTTCTGGAACGCCGAATGATGTGAGTTTTTATGTGGGACCAATGAGTGTCTTGTGTCGAGGAGGCCAAGCCCCCGGGAAGGATAAAGTCACCGGACGTAACGGACCCGATGGTGTGACGTGGAATGATAGAGCCGTTGGATGGGCTGCGGCCATGAATAGTGGGGGGACTGATGAGCGGTTGCGATCGCGCGCGGGGGATGCTCACGGTGGTGACAAAACGGCCGAGGGATGCTTATCTTAGCGGCTGATCATGAGAGATATCTTCCATCTGGACCCGTGGACCGATTCAGATAATCCGATAATTTCAGTTTTCCCCCACGTGTGGGAAAACGTGCGTGAATATATGAATGTTTGTTTGGAATAAAAGGATTTATTGTTTTTGCTTATCACTTTCTTTTATTTAAAAAGTAAAGATCTTTAAAGTTTTCAATTACTTATATGTCAATTTCTTTGTATTTTGAAAATTTCAGGTACTTTGAATCAGAATCATTTTGACCAAAAACAAAATAGAGTCATTAGATTTTTCAAAAGTAAAAAGTTCATAAAAATTTGACATGCATGAAATAAATGTATGGATTGCGAAATTGATTGTTTCGGAGTTACAAGAACGTCACGCACGACATATGTCATTTTCATTTATACTTATAGTTATAATTACGCATACGAAAGCATAATAACATTTTTGCAACATTCATTACAAGAAAATCGCACGAGTTTAATAATATACATGTCTTCAACTTTTTACAAACACTGTTATTTATAATCATGACAAAATATATAGTCCTAGGAAAGGTCAATGTCAGCTCACACCACTACACCCAAATTGGGGAAAGGTTAGGAATCACCCAACACTACCACACTGATATTAAGCAAACCACCATCCAACCTAGGGGTTGATGGCCTCCGACATTCTCTCGTCCCCTCCGTCGTCATCTCTAGGGGACCATCCTACAAAACTGAAAAATAAGAAATGAATTGAAACCCAGTAGATGAAATCTTCAAGTTTAAGGTAGAAGATCATCTTAGCACTCAACTCCGTACCAACAAATCATGTAAGTTCAAGCAACACAAAATAACCATGAATAACAATTGCAGAATCACATATTTTATCTTTCTTATCACGATATGTCAATAAAAACCATTAACAACATTGTATATAATCATTCACTCAAATGCAAGTAGATGGCATATTATTTCATGATGCGCCAGTATCATCTAGTGACTCACCACTATACATAGGGAATATCTATTCCCCACTTGTCACGAAGCTTACCAAATATACATAGGTAAGTTCATACTCGTTATGAAGCTTACCAACACACACAAGTGAATTCATACCGGTCATGAAGCTCACTGATATACACAGATGAGTTCATACTTGTCACTGGCTAGAGCCCATCTTGACTCACGAGGCTTCCTAAACATTCTCGGAGCATCCTAAACACACTCTCCTCCCGTTTGGTATACAATTCGGTTCATTCCTACCTCCTTCGCCATTCTAGAAGCCTACCAGGAGCCATTCCTTATCCGAGCCCTTTAGCCCCGGTGACTACTCCCCGCCCTCATCGGACAAGATCGTTACAGGACCACCAGCTTCCACCTGGTTTGTCCCCAAACCACATATCTACTAGAGAGGGTCCCGCTTTGGCATCCCTAAATTATTTCATATAACCGACAACATGACATCGGCAATTCATATAATCGACAACATAAACATCAACAACTCAAATATTCGACAACATGAACATTGCTAACGCAAAAAATCGACCACGTGATTAACCAACAACACTTAGTTAGTAAATTGATAACTTAGTCAAATTACAAAGATATCACTTTTAGGTTTAATATTCATCTTTTCCATATTCTTATCACTAAAAGTTTGCCATCACATCTTAGAGATAAATCAAATACCCCTAAGAAATCCATCAAACACATCCTAGGCATGTAACAAGCTTAATGATCCAATTCAAGTGAACACAAAAATTTCACATACCATGATTGTAGCTTAACCACATTTGACAACAAAAGCCAAATACAAGTTAACAACCAACAGCCAACCAAGTCAAGAGTACTAAGTAGATTAATCTAACTTAGTACTCAGAGCTTTCACTTACCATCAAATTCAAACTAAATTAACAAACATCAATCAACAAGAGTACTAAGTAGATCTACCTAACTTAACCGCTAGAGTTTTCACTTACCATCAAATTCAAACTAAATTAACAAACATCAATCAACAAAGTCAAGAGTACTAAGTAGATCTATTTAACTTAGTCCTAAAGTTTTCACTTACCATCGAATTCAAACAAAATTAACAAACATCAATCAACCAAGTCAAGAGTATTAAGTAGATCAGTGCAACTTAGCCCCTAGAGTTTTCACTTACCTTGATCAAAACTTGAACAACTCAAAGCTTTAACCACTCTTGTAAACACTAGAAACTGTGAAATTAGAAACTTTAGAAATACAAACGTGAGGCCTTCATCTTTTCTTCAAATGAGTGTGAGACGAAAGAGAAAGGAAAGAGACATGGAACTCTCTTTTTCTTTGTAAGAATGAGTTAAAGCTCTTTAATTAGAACTTGGATTCTTGAAATGGCTTTACACGATCAAAAGAGAATGTATTTAGAAGCTTTCACGAGATGCAAAAGGATAAGAGCAACTAACCTAGGGCTAAATGTAATGATGACTTGAAGTTTAAGAAAATGCTAAGTGGAAATGCAAGAGAGGTGGTCAAGTTAGAAAATCACAAGTGGCACGATCATATGGTTCCTTTCAAATGATGTGGCTAAGGGGAATGAACTTAGAAGATCAAGACTTAATGGTAATAATGACTTTGCCTTAAAAGCCTTATATGTAAAGATAAAGATATGTGTTCCAATACTAAAGCTTCAAGTGGCCTAATGAGAGTGGCTAAGTGAAGATATTTCAAGAGAGGGCTTCTTGGCCAAGTAAAATGAGTGAATCATCAAGGACATTAATTAGCTAAGGTTATCATGAATGATGTAATGAATGAGGTAATGCATGATATCATCACTATATTAAGTTCAATGTCACAAAAGCATGTGCGTTAAAACTATTAATGGAAAATGAGAAGAGGTGGTATAAATTAAAGAGGAACAAATGGCTCACGTATATGGTTTTCAAAGTAGATATTTGTTAAGCTATCAAAATATCTAGTAAATCAATACGTAAATAAGGAAATCAGTGTCATTTCCAAGCATTAATAAATTAGAAAAATATTTTGAACTCTCTAAAAAACATCAGTGAAAATAACGGATGTTAAGAAAATCTCAACTAAGTATATTTTAAAACATGAAAAAATCCAATATGAAACTCGGAGCATGTCAATCCTTTATACAACTAATATGGAGGCAATTAATTACCGTGACACTATACCATCAACATACGTGCCAACACCTATCATATTGGACTCCGAGCAATAACAATCGTGGAAAATTATCCTAAATATTATTACAAAATGTGGAAAATTTCGGATGTCACAGATCGTTGGGCCTTAGTGATGGCTGGTAGAGGTCATGAGCGGCGACCTCCATCGTTGGCGCCGACAACCTCTACCGGCCATCGCCGAGGGCCTCGACTGGCAGAGCAGATGGGAAAAAAGAAAAAAAAAGGAAAGAAAAGAAAATGAAAAAAAGAAAAGAAAAAAGGAAAAAAAAAACTGCACGCAGCCGTACCACATAGAACAGTCAGCATAAGCTTGCATTCATCTATGATCCATGCAACTTCTAGAGGAAACTTCATCCTGGTAACACCTAGTATTTTGAAAGAGATTTCAATAATCAAAGTATCATCGAGACCGAAAGCTAGATAAACACAAGTTTTCATTTTGCATTTGGAATACATCGAAATAAGTAAATTCCGAACTAATGCAATGTCCCGTTAATGTGATAAAGGATTTAGTCAAACCGTGTCTCATCTCCATAATAACCATTAGGGGTGAGCAAATCGAACCGAGAATTGCCCAAATTGACTAGTCCTGGGCGATTCATGGTTCCTACATATTGGAACTGGTGAATATCGGTCCGGCTCCCAATTCCAAGTGTAGGCCCACCCACCTAGACCACCCTGACCTGACTGATATATATTAATTATTATTTTTACAAAAATAAAAACCCTAATTAAAGTACCTCAATTCACTTCACTCTCCCTCACGTAAGGACATCAAGTTCAAGACCCTAATTGCCATTTGCCCCTTTCTAGTTTCTTCACTTAAATCTCGCGCCTCTCTCTCCCTGCTAGCTCTCGCAACCTTGCTCACCACTCACGGCAGTCATTGCTCCCTCTACTATAAGTTCAAAACCCTAATTGTCATTTGCCTCTTTCTAGTTTCTTCACTCAAGTCTCATGCCTCTTTGTCGTAGCCTTGCTCGCTGCTCATGACACTCGTCGCTCCTCTCATAGCCTCACTCGCTCGCGACGCTTGTTGCTCCCTCTCCTGAAAATCCTTAGTCCCTCTCCGGGAAGGATGTGAGCACAAACTGAGGATGTCTTTGGTATTCAATCTGAGTATATCAAATTACTCAGAAAGATATGACCAAAGTACTCAAAAGTATAAGAAACGAGAAATTCGAAATGAGGCAAAGATATGACTGAAGTACTCACGATCGGTCCGATTCCCGAGTGGGTCCATGAACCGATGGGTTGGTCCCCGGTTCCTTGGTGAGAACCAGCCCACCTTGAAATCGATCGCCCCTAACAACCACAAATGCCATCAGTGCTTTATGTCTTGTCTCACTGATTTGTCAAAATATTGTAATATTTATTATATGGTCAAAAGCATATTATACGACTTAGCTACAATGAACATCGATCTCATGTCGCATTCAAGAAAGAAAAATTAAATTTAAGATCCGTTTGTTTCGCATAAAACTCATGTTTTGAAAAATATTTTCTTAAAAATGGTTGTTCGTATCGTTTACAAAAATACATGAGAGAAAAATATTTACATTGTCCACGAAAATATTTAGACATAAATTATTGTCTATAATTAAAATATTTTTTGTTGGCT